ACAATGTTTTTACGCCCAGTGGAGTGGTGGTTGCAGGTCCTCTCTTTGGAATTTTAATTTTATATTCCCTTTGGGAAATATAAAATTACTGCACAGCCCCTGCACGCTGGCAGCTGCCCAAGGTGCAGGTGCTCCCTCTGGGTAACCCTCGGGTGCTTTCAGACAGCTCCTCCTGAGCAGACAACACTATATTTTTTCCCTGCTGTCTTCCAGCCCTGCCTGCACAGGGGAGGGGACATTCCCTGGGGAATGGAGATGCTGGGTGCCACGGTGATGGTTGCCATGGCAAGGGCTGCCACCGTCCCCATGGTCCTTGGGGACCAGAGCTGTCAGCACGTGGCTGCAGGCAGCCCTGGGGACACGGGCAGCCAGGTGAGAGCTGGATGTGTGGGGGCAGCTGGACTTACTGGGGTAGCTCTTCTCACCTCCCAGACCTCTGTGCCTGCCTGAAGCAGCTCCTTGCACAGGGACCTGCACAGAATGGTGCAGGACATGCAGCTCCAGCTGGGAGCACAGGATGTGCTGAGCAGCCAGCAGGGAGCACAGGCTGCCCACAGGCAGGTGAGCCTGGCAGCAGCTCAGCAGTGCCCACGCTGCCTCTGCCTGCATCCTCAGGCCTTTGCCCTTTTCAGGGGATGCTTGGACAACCCTTCCCATTAGTTTTGCTCTGTTTCACCTGCAAGCAAGCGGATACACTTCACGGATGAGGGCAGCTGGGTTTGAGTCCTTTTAGGTGCCAGGAGCTCCTTGTATCCTCAAAAAAAGTCATACTCTGCTGTTTAAAAGCCATTTTTTCCCTCTAGCAGCATCAGCAGCACATTGCAGAGCCAGTGCAGGTAGGAGCCCTTCCCTCAGTAGCCATTCCTGGAGCTGTATTCATCTTGGCAGCTTCCCCATGGAGAACCAGAACAAAGCCTAAAGGGCTCAAAGCAGACAGGGAAAGCTTTAGTCTGAAATAGTCCACCTTGGCTAGGGATGATCAGCAGGAATCCACATGGCTGCTCTCCTTTATCCAGCTGAGTGAGGAACAGGCAGCTTGAAAGAGGTCAAGACATCTTGGTAATTGGTGGGGAACTTTCAGATTACACTTGAGTGGGGAGGTTGTGACACTGCTGCCCTTCACTGCAGCTGGCAGGAGGGGACTGGAGAGTGAGCTCAAGCCTGCAGGGATAATCAACTCTTTATGGCCTGCTGTGGCCAGAGCTGCTCCTGGAGGAGTGGTGGGGCTCTCCCTGGGTACTGTGTCCTCCTCCCTCCCTGCAGTGTGGGCTCCCTTTGGTTGAGATGTGCCACTGTTGTTGTACTACTTGCTGCTGGCACAGTCAGCCTGCTCCTCAGGGGCTTTCTCAAACTGGGGGAACCTCAGGAGCAGCCAGGAGCCTGCCATTCACAGGATGGGAGCTGGGGAGGCCCAGGAGCAAAGGACAAGAGACACAAACTGCTGGAATTGTACCATGCCTTCCCTGGGATAGACAGGGCTGACAGGAGCATGACAGAGAGGATTCCCTGTCCTCTCTCTGCCTGGCTGAAAGAGTTAAAGGAGGGGGGCAATGACACTGCAATTGAGCAGTAATTAACTATTCTCAGCTGGGACTTTACAGAAATTACATACATGAGAAGAGGATGCCAGATCCTGCACATCCTCCCAAGGAAGGTGTGATGGCACACGCAGCTCACTCAGGGTTAAACACATCCTTTCAAACCCTGCTACTGCCTAGAGGAGTTGCACATACCTGTTCTGGGTGCTGTTACCACACCTGAGCTGGCCCAGGTCCACCACAACTCCACAGAGAAGTGGGTCTGGAAAAGTGCTACCATAGCAGAGATGAGCAGGGAATGAAAACCTGGAGGCAGTGGAGAAAGTGAGATGAGCAGAAAATGTCAGTAGCAACAAAAGCTGGCCATAAAAATGTACTGGGAGCACGTTGGTTCTCCTAGAGTTAAGTTTATCAGGTCTTGTACAAGTGTTTAGAGCAGACAGGAATAATTAAATCTACGTGTAATTACACGTTAGTTGTGGCTGATTAAGTACGCTAATTAATCTGCAATTATCATTTGGTGGGGGGAGATAATGGAACACAGGTAAAACTGCAGCGATTTAAGGAAATCCTGGCTATTGTTCCCGAGGAGGAGGTCTCTGAAGGGAAATGCCTGAGCAGTGATGTGAGGGAGGGAGGGAGGGTACAGAAATGCTGCTGTAGGAGGGTTGTGCAATGCAAGGCCAGCACGGGAGGGCTTTGGCACCTGAACTGCAGCTTCAGCAGGGCTGAGGCACTTGGCAGCCTGGCTTTCTCCCTGGGAAAAGAGCATTGTGCACCCTGGGAGAAGGTGTACGAGCTGTGATCAGGGAGGGGCAGGAGCACCTCCCAATGAGCCTCCAGAGCTGCTTGGAGAGATTTATCAAGGAGACAGAAGAGGTGGGTGTGAAACGCCCCAGGCTGAAGAGTGCACTGACTCTTCAGTCTCACTTCTGGCTGCTCATTCAAGGCAGGGATTAGAGTTATTAGCATGAAATGAGAATGAAGTAATTACCCACTGTCAATAGGTAGCACCTAAATGTAAAATGGGAGTTTGTCCTCTGTAGATAAAATGTCATGGGGAAAGAAGGAAGTGGTGTGTGTGAAAAATCAGGACAATTGGCATCATGAAGCTGTGTGGAGCTAGTGGGGCATAAGTGAAGGGTTAAAGGCTCAGCTATGAGGTATTTCTTTATTGCAGGTGTGTCCTAGATAAGATGTCATGGAGAAAGAAGGAAGTGGTGTGTGTAAAAATCAGGACAATTGGCATCATGAAGCTGTGTGGAGCTAGTGGGGCATAAGTGAAGGGTTAAAGGCTCAGCTATGAGGTATTTCTTTATTGCAGGTGTGTCTTGGGGAAAAGATAAGTGAAGGTTCACAGACTTCAAAGACATTCCTACAAACATCACCTCCCACCACCTCCCTCACAATGCCCTAGGTGTCTTACCCAGACTTTTCTCAGTAAACACAGGCCATGTGGAATGACACAAGAAGCACGAGAGAAATGATAAACAGCTGTTGAAAAGCAAGCAAGCACTCATTAAAAGACACCCCTTGGAACAGTACGCCGGCCAGAGCTTTATTTTCAACAGCCCATACAAACAAAAACCAAGAGCAACAGCAATGGTGTGTGTGCGTGTGTGTGTGCATGTGTGTGACTGATAGAGTTTGCCAATAAATTAAGGAGTGAAAAAACAAACACAGTGCATACCTAAAGATCATCAGTACATAAGTGAAACACAGCCTAAGTAGAAGTATTTGCATATCCTCTAGCTGTTTTAACACTGCCCTTTCAAAGCTAACCAAACCATTCTTGCTCTGTGCAGACTATGCAAGCACTGGGCTGATTGTAGCTTCACCCCAGGGACAATCCCTCGTGGGGGCAGGAAGGCAGGTCACACCCTGAGAATCAACACTTGCCTTCCTGTGTACCCCTGGTGCAGCCAGGAGGTGTGGCAGGCACTCCTGGATCACTGACACAGCTCCAGGGCCCGGGCAGCACTGAGGACACTGCACTGGCCGTGTCTCCCCATGGAATGCTGCCCCTGTGCAGGACTTGAGGGGGTACCTTACTTGCATCACTGAGTTACAGCCCAAGCTTATTCCTGCTACTGCTTTATCATTGGTTTCATCTGGACCTTAAACATCCATCTATCAATAAATAAAATCATTGGTTTAGCACACATAATAAAATTACACCTCCCATTGGTAACTGGTTGAGAAGTTCTCCGTGTTACCTCCTACATAAGCCTCAAGAAAATGACTCTTTTCCCTCAGGCTTAGTAAGGTTTCAAGTTACAATTTTCAGTACTGCTTGGACAAGACACAGGCTTGGTTTGGAACCCTGATTCTGGCTACAGGGCCAAAATATCTCCACACTTCTACACTCAACTGCATCAAGTCCATGACTGTGCCATTTTCACCTGTGAGCAGCAGAAGAGGGAACTAACAGTACTTGCTGTTATTCCCTCTCCAGGTGACTGAAACAGTCCTTTTACAAAGCCTATCAACCTAACCCAGCTAAAATGAAAAGCAAAAATGTCACTCAAGTCAGAACCAAAGCCTGTGTGTATCAAGATTCACATCAAGAGCTCTTATCCACAGCCACTTGCTCTAACAAACCTCCCATAAATGCAGCCTTGACTTCCTTCTCCCACAGGCCAGGACAGAACAATCTGAGATAAGCTGTATCTTCCTCCAACTGAGTACTTATAAGGCACTAAAATTAAGCCACGACCAAACAATCCCAAAAAACACAAACCCAAAAGAAACCCAAACAAACTGACCCACAAAGAAATTAAAATTTGGCTATATGAAATAGCAGCAATTTGTTTTCAGTGGTCTACAAAGCCAGAACATTGATACTTTGGGGCAAAAAAAAAAACCAATGCACTGTTGGCCAACTACAAAACACCTAAAAACCTACATCCATTCACACTTCATAATCAAAATCAGTACAAATCTGATAGGCACAAGTAAAAAGCATCTTCTTCACACCTCAGTGCTCAGTTTTCCAGCAGAAGCCAGGCCTGGGGAGCTCAGCTGCCCTGCAGGACAAGGTGAGCAGCCCAGCACCACCATCACACAGCTGCAGGAGGATGGAGTGGGGATGAGCCACTGCAGAGCTGCTCCAGGACACTGACTGGAGGCAAATGTTTTTAACAACATGATTAATTAGACAATGTGTTCAGCTTTGGCACCTATTTCTGAGCCCTCCCTCCTGTTTTCAGAAGTCATGTTAAATATAACTGGTGTAACTCCAGTGTCTTCATCCATTCCCATTATTTTTCTTCTGCTTGGAAATCGGTGAACTCACCTATGTCACTACATTAGATACAAAGGCTAGCACTTCAGATTTCTTAAAAACAATCACTCTGAGTTTGGAAAACTGCTTTTAAAACATACGAAGAAATACTAAACATAAATGTGTAAAGCAGGAATTCATACCTTTAAACATCAATAAGAATGAGCTTATTTGGAGAGCAATAAAGCTTTTTTTTTAAAAGGATATACTGACTAGCTATAGGTAAATTCCTCTTTCCCTGATTGCTTGGTGAGCTCAGCCAGGCTCAGTGCCTTGCAGCTTTGCAGATTTTGTCATACACTTCTGGAAAGGCATCCTTGCAATTCATCTCCTCCCTCAGCTTGTGGTACAACGAGCCATCAAACATATCCCAGAACTCCTCACGGGTCATGTAACAATCTGCATACAGCATCTGGAAACTGGAGAGAATGGAAAGAGAGATTCAGTCTTAACTGAGCCACAAGATTTGATACAGAATATTAAAAAAAAATTCAGTGCAAGCTATGAAGAGCAAATACTTTAAACAAAACCATCAACAATGCTTTTTAAAAAACAAACAAATACAATAGCTCATGTGGATTATGCTGGGACACTCAGCCAACTATATTTTGTGGATTTAGTAATTTTCTTCCTTAGGATCCATGTAGGTACAATCATAGAATATCATATTTGCCTGCATTACAATGTCCATTCAAGACAGATGTAACAATACATCCTTTGACTTTTTCATTTCTCTGGACATGAAGAATATCACTAGGAAGGCAAAATGAGACCAGGCCAAGAAGATAAATTCATAGTGTGAGCAAAGCATGGTGTAACAAAGGTCCATTTACAAATTAAATCCTTCTTCAGCTGTGGACTCTTCCTCACTCCCAGAGTGTGCTCTCTGAGCTGCAGCTACCATCAGAGCACAGCAGCAAAACACAACCTAACAATCACACAATTGTTTTGTGTGATTATGAAACTGGAAGATTAAGCATTTATCCATTGTTCATTTCCCAGTGACAGGTAGAAAACAGACCAAACTTTGTCAGTAAAGAGCTTTAAATTAAAATCTTAATTTCAAGTTAATGGAAAAAAAAATGCTTAAAATTAACTTTGGGTTGCTTTGTTCTCTGGCAAATCACTTCTTGCAGCTCAAAGTCATTTGCAGTCCCCAAATCATCTCGAAGCAGCCTTGCCATTATTGCTCAGCCACATGGGACATGATCACTGTTAGACTGAGAAGTAGGTCAAAACAGAAATGGGGATAAATTAGACTGATGGTGTAAAAATACCATGTAGTTGCTTTTTGTTCCTGAGAAACCAGCCTGTGGCTGCTTCTCCACTGACACCGCTCCAGCAAATCAGGCTGGCTCGAGTCCGTGGCAGATGGTGGACACATGCCTCACGCCCACTGTGGTCCTGTGTAATCAGAACCCAGGCAGGGAAAAGGAAGCTCTGGAGCACAAGTTTTGAGGGAGGAAAGAATGCCACCAGCACCCAGGGACTGACTGCAGGGACAGCCAAGGCTGGCCCCCTGGGCAAGGACATCCCGGCGCAAGGACGGGGCAGAGCGGCTCCACGATGCTGCAAGGACTGCAGGGAGAACAGTCCCAAGGGCAGGCAGGGAAGCTGTCCAAACTTCTGGGATTCCTCAATGATGTATTCCAAGGGTGTATTTTGTAGCAGCAGACTCTACTCCCAGAGCAGCCTGGAGCTGAAAGGTGATCTGAAGTCACCCAGCTCCCAACTACACCGCAGTGACTTCAGCCAGTGTGTCTTTTTGTTTGGTTGGTTTCACAATCAAATCATAAAGTGAAATCATACTTAAAGCTCACCAAAATTAGCAATTTAAATTAGTTTTCAATTACTGTGGTTATTAAATTAATGCAGTATTAAATATTAAAGTTCTGTGGGATAAATAACTGTGATTAAACCACAGAGTGTGAATTATATGACATTATCACTGTTCTGAGGAGTGGGGTCCTTACCCGTGCACACTTCTTACAAACTTTTCCATTTGCCTCATTGAAGCTCTGGCTTCAAACTGTTTGCTTTTGGGCTCTCCATAAGCTCCTATATCCACGTAGAGCTCAGCTTCATTTCCTTTGGGATGGACCATACCAGGATTGTTGGGCAATATGAAAGGACATAACCAAATAGGGTACACCTGCAGGGGCAGAAAAACACTTTATCACTTATTTTTTAACGCAATCATCCTTTAAGCTCTTTAACACATGTGGCAAAATAAAGAGTTGAGAGAACTTTCTCCCAATCTTGGACTGAAACTTTGCTTTCAGCTCTTCCTTCTCAGCTGTCCTGGTGTTGTTTTTAGCTGCACTTTCTAATGACCATAACACAAATAGATTGAAAATGTCCTCTTAGAATAGTATCTCCTCCCCTTAAACATATGAATTTAAAAGGGAAAAAAAACCCAAAAACACCCATTAATAAACCACCCCCGATCTCAAAGCAACAACTGAATAAACATTCTAAGCAAAGAGAGAAGGAAGTGTTTTCTTTTCCAGGTCAGTCCAAAACTGAAATTATCAAAATTGAAATTCTACACTAACGAAAATAAATTCAGAAATAAAAGCAAGAAAGGGAAATGAAGCTCCACAGTTGGTGCTTGGTGAGACCACCAATCATTTTAGGTGAAGATCAGTTCAAATTTCAGTAAGTGATAAAATCTTTTAGAAGTGTCGGTTTCTACCAAAGCTTGAATCTTTTATTTAATGCTTCTCTTTTTCAGAAAGCTGTGTTTATTTCTGCTGCAGCCTTGCATCATGGACTCACAAAGCACAGCACTCCCCAGGACACAATAATGACCTTTTGCACAAGCAGGATATTATGTCCAACATCAACAGTCACAGTCCTTATCACAAAGAACCCAAGATTTGCTGGCTTCTAAGGAGATGAGTTCTTACATTAAGGTCAACGTGGAAGGTCTGGATTGATTTTTCAAGGCTCTTCATTGGCACCAGCATGTCCTGCACAACGTGGTGTTGCTCATACAGCTTCCTGATGGCTTCTCCTTGGGTGAGCTTCAGCAGAGAGATTTTTGGGGGCACCATCCAGCCAAACAGGTAACGGAACACGGGGTTATTGCCAAAAGGAATGATATCCTTCCAAGAGGAAAGAAAAAGAGTCTGACTGAAGAATGTGTGAGCGGACCAAAAGAACACTTCAGAGCCTTCAGGGCAACATTAAGCCAGATTTTCAATAAATTTAATTGGTGATACTTTGCTGAAGTATTGAAACACAAATTAGCAAATTAGGGGGCCTGGACTGCACTTGGCTACAGAGCTTTGCCCCAAGCCTCCTCTGGTTTTCAGCTGTATGAATCACAACATACCCAGCCCCAAATAATGTCAGAAAATAAAGAGAGCAACAGGCTATTATCTTGCAACAGCCAAGGGAGGAGTGCAAAAGCAGCTAACTTTACAGAAGTTTTGCAAGAATAACCAAATTTCTCAACAGCATTTTAAAGCTGTAAAATTTTAATTACCACCCGCACAGCCAACTGCTGTTTACCTTCTGCAGGAGCTGAAAGGAGCTGGTACCTCACTCCAGAGATTCAAAATGTAGTAACAGGAATATTTCAGAATGTCAAATCAAGTTTTGCGTAAGTACACATGACAATAAACACATTTATAAAATTCTGAGTAATGACCTGATTATCTAATTAGTTTAGGTGGGGCAGTTTTTTAGCCAGAATTTCACATTCATGTTTTTAACACCATCTGAATTTGGAAATCACTCAGTAGACACAAAAATTTACTGCTGAAATTTAATACTTAGTTATGTAAGTAACATATATACTTAAGGTCTAAATTCGGAAAAGCACTAAATCAAAAAATTAGGAGTTTCTGATACAACACCTTATATGTCAAGAAGTGTCCTTGGATTTGCTGCACCCAAATGCAGGACTTGTAAATTTGCCATAAACTTTGCCATTTTTTTCTGCCATTAAAGACAGAAGTTGCTGCCAAGGGGAAGAAGGTACATTGTACCTGCACTGGGAAAGGGCAGAGTACCCCCCTGCAGACATATTTGAATTTTAGAACTGGTCTTACTTGGAGCTCCCAGAAGATACTGCGAGTATGTCTGTGGTAGTAATGTCTAGAAGGAATGTATTCCACTCCAGTCCTGTCAGCTTTCAAATACTTCTCCACATGCTTAAAGAACCATGGCTTGTAGTAGTTGCCAATTCTGTTTATCTGCAAGAAAACACGAATTCACAGGGTAACAATTACACCTTGCTAGACAACAGAGTATGTCCCCAAATTCCTTTCCTGGGAGGAATCTGTGTCATACCCTCTGGATAAGACTGTCACAAGGCACCTAGGGAGCCTTCACCCCGCTTGCAAGGCTTCTTCTTTCCTTTCTTGCCATTAAGGTTTAAGTAAGACTTCCCACTGACAAGCTATTTAAGAACCCATGAATGTGACAGAACTGAATTCCTAAAATGCCAATCTCCAAACCCACCATTAATCCAAAATCTCACATGGCACAGAGGAAACATCCAGGTGGAAGGTCGCATGAACACTTAGCATGACCCTCCTGTGCATGCCCCTGATGTGTTTTTATTAATATTACCAGCATTAAAAGCTTGCTAGGAAGAAAGTTGTTCTGAATAACTGCAGTGCAAAGCAGCATTGCTCAGTCTATGAGAAAAGATCCTTCTCTTCCTCCTCAGAGGAACAATTAAATCACTGGGTAATTTCTCACCAATAAAAGAGATTCAGAGAACAGATTCTGTCATAGTAGGAATTAAAATATTCTGACGGACTGATCCAAATTTTAATCCTAGTTATTATGTCCAATTCTATAATGGTTTTATCCTAGCTTCAGTTAGACTTGGGGAGTATTTTTTCATTGTCTGTCAGCAACTTCCCTTTAGTTACCTTGCTTTGCTCAGCTTCATCAGTCAAGACTCCTGTCATGATGACTGCTTCATCCAAGGAATACATAAGTCCTTCCACAAAACTATTCTCCTTTTTCTTAGACTCTTCAGTGAACTTTTCACAAATCTTCTGCAGTCCTCTTACTGGCTCGTAATGTATTTTGACATATTTCTTGGCAGGAACCATTTTTATTTCTGCTGCAACCAGGAAACCCAGAGTACCACAAGACCAAGGCACTGCATAAAATAGGTCTGAGTTTTCAGTCTGCAAAAAGTATGTATGTCATACTAAATCATATATCCACACCAATAACTGTCAATGACATTGTAAATGATAGCAAAGTAACATTTTGTCTTACTGGTGAACATCTCACAAGGCTTCCATCAGCAAGAACAAGTTCATAGGCCACACAGGTGTGCTGAAAAAGTCCATAGATATGGGATGAAGACTCAATGCCAGTTCCCATGATCAGGCCACCTTGTTAAGAGAGCAGACAACAAATCAAATGAAACACAGTCCAAAATGTGGTGATTTATAAGAGCAAACCTCCACTTTATAAGCTAAGACTATTAAAAAAAAAGTGCGTATAACATAAATCTCTAGAACCTTTAAAACAATGAAATTAAAAAACCCTAATGAAAGTGCAGCAAAATCAGTGAGTCTCTTGTCACCAGCAATCCTTACCTACTGTGAGATCATCAAGCTCTGGTACCACAGGAATGGTCCAGCCCATGGGATTCAGGTAAGCAGTCAGCTGGCCCATGGACACCAAAGGCTCCACACGAACAACCTAAAAAGAAAAAAAAAAACAAACCCACCCCCAAGTTCTCAACAAACGCAAATGAAGAGTTCAGCATTAATGATGACAAAACATGGCTAACTGGTTATACCTCCATCTGTTATCAGAACTCAGAGATTCACTTTCCTAAGAGAGCTACTAAAAATAGTGGGAACTGTTTAGTGATTCCTCCTCTGCCTCAACATCTTGTTGCTCAGTGCCCAAACCCATAAATCAATCTGGTCTTTTAGACTTCAGCACATAAAAGCCAAGCAATTCCATATGCTGGGTTTTTCAGATGGAACGATCCAAGCCCACATTGCAAACCCTTGAAATGTGACAGCTCTGCTACAAAATTTTGTTCTTTGTGCAATCTAATCCCTTCAGCCCTGAGTATCGTGAAGGAAAGTATAAAATCCATTACAGTGCATGCTTCGTGGTGGGATTTGTTACCTGTCTTTCACTGTCTACTTCCAGAACATCCATTAAATTGATCATGATGTTCTTGTGAGTCTTCTTGTACTTGCCAACACGGAGTGACACCGTCAGCCAGCCGGGCCGGCCCGTGCACATGTACCTCTTGCTGCCTTCCTTCTTCCATTCCCGGACCTGCAAGAGCCAGCAGCTGTCACAGCAGGGGTGCTTTGGAAGCCTCTCTGCAGATCTCTGGACTTCTAAGTAAAGTATGGCCAGAGTGGTTTAGTTATGTAGAGGACACGTTTCTAATATCCTGTAGCTCTGGGCTTTTCTTCTGGGGGAATGATTCAGAAAGATGACAACACTAGAGTTAAAAAAGCCCTCCCCTAAGGGAGGTGTTATCACTGTTGTAATCTTAGTTCTAATCCAAAACACACAAAAAGTGGTTTGTGCCGCCAAATGACCAGGTCTAGTGGAATCAACCTCAAGCAACCTGGTCTAGTGGAAGATGCCCTTGCCCATGGCAGGTGGGGTTGGAATAAGATAATTTCTAAGGTCCCTTCCAACCCAAAGCCTCTTAAGATTCTACGAAAAGTTGGGAAGGAAAATGTGCAAGCCATATGAATTCTGCAAAGCCACAGTGGTTAACACCCAGAGAACAAACAACTGCATTTTCTTCCAAGCTCAGCTGCTACTACAGCTGGTAAAAAAAAACAAAACAACAACCCAATCAACAACCCCAACCCCTCTGAGAATAATTCCATGCACATGAATATCCATGTGTTTCAGTGACGGCAGAGACAAGGCAGGAAACAGAAGCGGACGTGACAGAATCACCACAAACACCAGAACCACTGCACACATCTGCATTTCTGGGCGGAGGAAAAGTTTAATCTGCCCACGAAGCAGCTCCTGGGGCCGGCGGTGCCGAGCACAGGGCGTGAGGGCGGGCAGAACACGCTTCTGAGCCCCAGATCCCGACAGACGCTTTCCCCTCTTGCACACACGTGTGTCCCTGAGCCCGGCTCTCAGCACACCCGGGCACACCCGCGCGGAGGGAATTCCACAGGAGTTCCTGCGGGAGGCCGAAAGCCCCGCCGGCGGTGATCCCTTCGCTTTCCCCGCTCCGGGTAAGGAATGGCGGGGATGATGACAGAGAGCGGGACAAGGGCACGCCGTCCCCGAGCCGTGCCGGGCGGGACAGCCCCTGGATGCGCCTCACCTGCTCCTGGATGTGCCGGACGCGCTGGGCGTGCTGCCGCGGGGCGCTGTGGAGCCGCCACACGGCCCACGCGCGCAGCTGGTAGTAGATGTCGAAGAGGATGGAGAGCGGCAGGAGGAAGAAGCAGACGAAGACCCAGCGGTGGTGCACCAGCACGGCCTCCAGCCCGCGGTGCCGCACCCAGAGCAGCAGGAGCAGCAGCCCCGCGCCCACCGACCACAGCGCCGACATGACGCCCACCGCCCGCTCGCGCTCCATCACGGCCGCGCGCCCTTATGGGACCCCGCCATGCCGCGCCCGCCGCTCGCGCGCTCGCCGCCCGGGCCACGCCCCGCCGCCCCCATTGGCCCAGGCGTGAGGCGAGGGGAGGGCGGCGGCCAATTGCGGAGCTCCGCGGAGATCGGACCAGGCGCTGAGGGCGCCGATTGGCTGCGCGCGGCCGGCCCCGCGCTCCCCCTCATCGCAGCGGCCACGGCGCCCCCCCCGCGGCGGGGGTGTCACCGCCTGGGGACTGAGGGGGACCGGGACAGGGCCGGGCAGGGCCGGGGACCGGGACCGGGACAGACAGGGCCGGGAATGGGGACCGGGACAGGGTCAGACCCCGGTAAAGCCTGGGAATGGGGACTGGGACAGGGTCAGACCGCCGGGCAGGGCTGGGCACTGGTCCTGGGAATGGGGATACGGGGCTGGGACAAGGGCTGAGGCAGAGGGGACTCCCCGGTCAGGCCCTGGTGGTGCTGTGTGACCAGTGTCCCCTGAGCGAGGGATGCACCCTGGTGCCTTTGGGTTGGGGTCTGGAGCAGAACACCTGTGCACCCCTCACCTGTGTGGTCAGGGTGGGGACAGGCCCTGGTGGTGCTGTGTGACCAGTGCCCCCTGAGCGAGGGATGCATCCTTTGGGTTGGGGTCTGGAGCAGAACACCTGTGCACCCCTCACCTGTGCACCCCTCGCCTGTGCACCCCTCGCCTGTGCACCCCTCACCTGTGCACCCCTCTGGTGTTGAGGGCACAGCACCCCGGCAGTGCAGGTGTCTCCAAAGTGCCATGCAGTTCCATTTCTAGAATAAAGAAGGGGGCACCTCCCTCCACAACACGGCTTACTCTCTAAAACCCTGGCAGAAAACTCCTCTCTGTGATGGGACCACGTGAGAGAAGATAAATAAAGTCTGTGAGAAAGATGAGGCTTTGTTTTTTGAAGTTAGAATCCCTCAAGGGATGGGCTGCTTGAGAGGACAGTGACAGAGGTCCAATGACAGCCCCAGGAGGTGTCAGCGCTGTCAGGAACCCTGGAATGGCAGAGACTTTGCCATGGCACCACTGGGTTCAGAGAGGAACATGGAATCTGTTCCATGAGGACACAGCCATGGGGATGTGACACAAGTGTCAGGAGTCACACAGGTGACTCCTCTTTGCCTGCAGGAGAAATGCTGGCCTTGTCCTTTGGATGTTTGATAGCTGGGAGATGGAAACTCCAGACAGGGAGGGATCAAGGTTCAGAGCTCAGCCAGCCACACCTTTCGGCCCTCCTCAGACACATGGAAGGCTTTGCTTTGAAGCCCACTCCAGGATTTCATGGAATCACTCACAGAAAGGTTTGGGCTGGATGTACCTCAAAGATCACCTGGTGCCAGCCCCAGAGCCACCTTCCCTTAGAAGAGTTTGCTCAGGTCCCCATGCAGCCTGGCCTGGAACAATTCCAGGGATGGAAATTTTAGCACATTGCTTTTTTTGGGGTTTGTCCCACTGCTTTTATTGAAGGGCTAGACTGAGACTTCACAGCTCTCATATTTGGAAGGGGTCTCCTAATTTCCAGACTAAATTTATTTATAGTCAAATTATATTTGTTGCACTTGTGCCTAGTCTGCTCACTAGCTCTTCTTACATCTGAGCTGATTGATGTTATCTGCTTCTATTTATCAGTTCATCTGCTGACGGGAATTATTCATGCAAAAGGAGGTTCCCATGCTCTAAGAGAGGTTATTTTAACCTCTCTGAAGGACCTAAATAATTATTCCTGATCTGAATGTGATCAAGCACTGGGCTTATTCAATAACAGCATCATTTATTCATAAGGGGATATTTATGCCTTCAGTGTAAATACTATTTTGAAATTGTTTTATGAAGAACCATTACAAATGCTTATCATGTTTTTCGTGTTTTGCTCTTGTTTTTGTAAGGCCCTAAGCAACAAGAAGGGGGTAGGTGAGCTCAAAGATTGGGATGTGAAACTCCTTTAAAGCAGAAGAGTGAAACACGTTCAGATACCCCACCACTTCCTGATGCCAGGCATAGAAAACACAGGAATGAGAAGGGGATGAGGGAAGGGCAGATAGATATTAGAAGTGCTGCTGGTTTTCAGTTCTAGTTATTCTAGTTATTTGGGCAAAACATTATTCAGCAATCCATGTAGGCTTAGGAAGACATCATCTGCAAATCTGTTTGGAAGAGCTAAGGTTCTCTTGGTAGCTTGGTGAGATGAAAATCCTTGGTTTCTTCAATTAAATTAACATTTTAAGTGTGTTTAAGCTGTTAGTGCTTCTTAAAAAAGCAGTCCTTTTCCCTTCCTCTCCTCCCTGCCTCCCTCTCCTGCCATCCCATCCGCCCACTCACGCTGTTCTGGGCATGCTGTGCAGTACAAGTGCTGTCACTCAGTAAAACAGGTTGGAGAACTGATCTGACTGAAGAATTAAACATTTTATTTTCCAATCAGTTTTTTTTTCCTGCCTGGATCAGCTCCCTGGTGGAGCTCACCCCACTCACGCTTGTGCTGGGAGCAGAGCAGGGGGCTGGAATTGACTGTGCCAGCTGTCCTCTCGGGGACAGCTCATCCCAGACAGCCCTGCCAGCCCTGCACTGGACTCTGCTCCTTACCCAGCTTGGTGGTGACCATGAAAAGGCTTTGGCATAAGAGATGCAGCTGTTTGCCCAAGGAGACAGGGAGGAGGGACACAGAGTCATGGAATCTTAGAATTGTTTAGGCTGGAAAAGCTGTCTCAGATCATCAAGTCCAGCTGTTCCCCCAGCACTGCCAAGGCCACCACCCCCATCCACACAGCTCTGAAACCTCTCTAGGGATGGTAATTGCAGCACTGCCACGGGCAGCCTGTTCCAGTGTTTGATAAACCTTTATGTGAAGAAATTGTTCCTGATACGCAATCCAAACCTCCCTGGCACCACTTGAGGCTGCTTCCTCTTGTTCTGTCCTTGTTCCTTGGGAGAAGACCCTGACCTCCACCTGGCTCCAGCCTCATTTCAGGGAGTTGTAGAGACTGAGAAGGTCCCCTCTGAGCCTCCTTTTCTCCAGGCTGAGCACCACCACTCCCTCAAGCTCAGACTTGTGCTCCAGCCCTTTTCCCAGCTCTGCTGCCCTGCTCTGAACACACCTCAGCCCCTCAATGTCATTCTTGTCATGAGAGACCCCAAAATGCACACAGGATTCCATGAGTGGCTTCATCACCACCAAACACAGAGGGACAATCCCTGCCCCGATCCTGCTGGCCACACTGCATGGTCATAACATACAGAGCATTTGAGCTGCACACAAAAGTAGGCTGAAGAGTTCTGTCTCCTTAAGAAAAATATCAAGAGGCCTTCAGTGGCACCAAAGGAAGGCATTGAAAAGCATTAAAAAGCCCATTTTTTCTTGCAAACTCTCAGAGCCCTGGTACTGACTGCCACAGAGCTGCTGCTGAGCAGTACCAGGATGTTCAAAGGATAAGCATTTAATAGCAATAGTTATGAAAACTAATAAAGAATTTTGGGAAGGCTGCAAGCCTGCTTAAATCCATAAAGAAGCCAGCCGATGGTTACTCGGGGTTAGGAGTCAGCTGCCTTTGGTTTTCCTGCACGTGGGTTTGGTGCAAAGCTTGTTTGAAACGGGAGAGCATTTCTGAGGGTTGGAGGGAGGTGGTGCTCAAACTGCTTGTGAGAAGCTCCCTCTGCTGAGAAATCCAAAGCATGTTCAGTCACCCTGAAGGAAAAGCCAGCAGGGGAATGTGGTGCCCCTGTGTTTACCTGATGGTGCTCAATTAACCAACTTCCAGATGGTTTTTTTTTAAAAAGGTATTTATCAATGGGATTTCTATTGCCCAGGACCTATTTCTTGGGTTTCACAGCTGTTTCATGTGAGGGAGTAGAGGTGTGTGGTGGCTTGGAGAGGAGGAGGGCAGAGGGTTTGGTGCAGCAGCTGTAGCTGGGGTGGCCCTTGGGAAATCGGTCAAAAAGGGAAAATGCATTTTTAGTTACTTTAAAACTTCCAGATAGCTGTCAGGGGAAGTGAAACACCAACTGAAGGCTTAGGCAACGCTAGATTGGTGAGGCTATTTTAGGTGAACCTAATGTGGAAAGACTTTAACATCCATGGTGGGCAAAGCTCTCCATGTGGGTTGGTCCACCCTAAGCACACTGAGTCCTTGGGGTGACTTTTCTCTTTCTTCCTTGCCTTCCTCTGTCCTCTCAAGGCTGCAGCCACCCTGTTCACACTGGGAAGGGCTCTACCAAAAGAAGCAATAACTGGTGCTGCAGGAATCAGGGATGCCTGGGCTGTATCCCATGAGCTCTGATAGCAATCATGCCCCACTCCTCTGCTGATGAGCTATTGTAGGTGGCTGGTGGGACCCATCACCACCTTGGGGGGCAGCAGATGCAGGTGTGAAGTGAAATTGGGAATCCTGACGATGGCAGAGTGTGTCCTATCCTTCAGTGGCTGTGCTCTGCATCAGGAGGCAGGGTCAGCTGCGGGTCAGCACATTCACAGAGCCACCAAAAAAACCCCAGTGCTGCAGAACATACGAGAGCTTTCGTGTATTCTCTGTGATGTGCATTAAATCCAGCTTTACAATTGACTCTGGAGGGATACCCTGTCTGGGATTTATAAAAAGAATCACTTGTCAAAACAGCGAGCCAGACTGGGAAAGGAATTCAGCCCTCCCTTCGCTGTCACCAGGGTAGTGTCCTCTGTGGCAGAAATGAAATGGCTGTGGCACAGCAGCGGGTGTGGAGATCTGGTTACTGGAGAACTTGGGGCTCCAGAACTCAAACTGCAGGCTGAGGGAGGTCACACTCCTCTGGGTGAGCAGGGGGGACAGTGAGCTCGTGGCAGCCATCAGTTGGCTTCACAGCCCTGAGAGTGAGGAGGAGAAGTGGGTGAAGAAACTGATGCTCCCATCTCCTGTCGGTGAGATCCTGGGGACACCAACTGTGCCGGGCATCAGAAACCAGCTGCAGTCACTGAAAGGCAATAAATGCATTACTCCAGACTCGTGGCAAAATGGACACAAGTGCCAGTGGCTTCCAGGGTGCTCAGGGTGAGCTTTGTCATGAAGGCAGTTGTGAACCAGAGCTGGTGGGGAGTGACTCCAGGGCACCCTCTCCCCACACTGGCCTCAGGACTCTTCTTGCTTGGAGTGGCAAACACTGTGGGAACATGCGAGAATCATTTGGTGATGGTGAAGGCTTGCCAGTGTCACCCGAGGAAACACTGCAAGTTGTTTTTCTGTACAGGCCAAATTTTTCTCCCGTTTTCAGCTCCCAGCAAACCTGCCTGTGTGTTTAGCCTCCCAGTTCCAGATGTAGCTGCAGGTCCTTTTCCTCCAAATAAAGCCAAGGCTTGCACTGCCTTGGCTGTGGCCATTTTCTCTGCCTGGTGCTGTCACTCTGTCACCTGTCTGCTTTCATTTATTTCAATGTTTTAAAAATTTCATGGGCCCACTCCCAGATGATGTAAAGTGATAAAACTCCAGGCCATGCTCCAAAAACATCAGTGTAACTGTAGGATCTGGCCCCTTGGGTTTACTTACTGATGCCAAAGAAAAATAGAAAAGCTGTGAGCAAAGCAAAAAAAAAGGAAAAGTATGGCTGGGAAAAAAGAGTTTAAGATGTTGGTTGTGTAAGAGTTGTATAGCTGTTAAAGTCACCTAGAATATCCTTTTAATAAATGAAGAAATTGCAGCCAGATAAGTTAATAATTAAGGGTGACAAAAATATACCATTGTTCCAATAATAAGGAACTGTATTGGTCTTATTGAAGATAAATGGAGGCGTATTTAACGTGGTTCAGTGCTGTGCTGATAGACTACAAATGTCCTTTTTTTTTCACTGGAAAACTCAGTACAAAATCAGGTCGAAAGCTGATTGCCAGTGTTTGTTCCCTCCACGTTGCTCGGCTCCTTTCAACAGCAGATGTGCCTTGGAAGCGACTCCCACGTGTGTGGAACTGAGCAGAAGGAAGCTGGAGGCTTTGAGAAGAGGTTCCTGCCCCTTTCTGTGGAGAAGAACAAGATGTGCTCCCGTGTGTGGAGCATCTCGTGGAGATACAGAATGGTTTCCAGGCTGAGGACTGGATAAATTGACTGGTCCTCAGCTCTGCAAATCAGTGGCTGGAAAAGCTGTCTGCATGGAAGGTGATGAGGATGTGATTGCTCAGTTTCCTTTAATACAGGGAATTTCTGTAGGATCCAGCTTGGCAGGCTTGGCTGGAGCCATACCTAGTAAAATGAGACAGCAATTGCAATTTCAGCAAACACAACCAAACTCCAATTTATTTTTTTTGTACTTCCAGTAACCACCAAAATATGATTGCTGCAGTACCCTGTTCATGGGGAAGAGTGGCCTTTAAATACCCACCTAAATGTGGCAAATTTCACAAATAAATCTGAGAATGGGTAAAGGCACTGATCCTGCCCCAGCTCATGGTAAACTCCAGGTGCACTTCCAAGCCTCTTGTGGGCTGAGCTGCAGACTCAGCTTCTTTCTGTCTCCTCCTGCCCTCTCCATCCTTGGCAATGCCCATTTTTTTTTTACAGAATGCTTAAGGAAAACATTGAGAAATCAGCCAGCAATAAACCACTGCCATCCCAGAGCAGTTAATTACCATTATCTATGGTATCAGCCCAGAGCCTGTAATAACCTCTGAACTTTTATTGCACTGAGATGTCTGCTTACATCCAGGCTAACGAAGATTACAGGGCTGGGGTGGATTTCCCTCATGCTGGAACTGGCAGAGGGAATCAGGGCAGGAGAGTTTCATCCCTCTGTGAGGCAACCAAGAGCTGACACTTCTCTGGCACAGGAGAAGTGCCAGGGGAAGGAAACCACACCTTTTCAAGTAAGATAAGTAGCCAAAGAAAAGGACAGGATACATTTTGGGGAGCAAGATTAACTCTCTGGATCCTGGGTGACTTCCCAGGGAGGTGGAGCAGGGAAGCCTGTGTACTCCATGTGGGATGGCAGGTCTGTGTCTGGGATGCTGCTCATGGCTGCTTTCTGTGAGGTCCTGTTGCAGTCTGAGGTGCTGATCTAAGTCGTCTGCAGATGGTAAACTGAGACCAGTCTTTTCAGTCTGAAGGCAGCTAACTTAGGCAATGTCTTCCAGTAGTTTCTTCACAAGCATCTTTGCAAATGCCTGTTACTCACATTCACATCCCCCTCTTTCTTCCAAGTCAGTACTGAGTCAGTTTTTCTCTTACAGGCTGAGGGAAGAGATGGGAGCAGCCTGCTCGTAAACCTCCATGGGAGGAATCTCCTGCTAGTGCTGCTCCTTTCAGGCAGAAATCAGGAGAACATCAGGAGTGGGGTCTCCTCAGAGCCTCACACCACAGAGCTAACCAGAGTGCGAGGCAAATTCCCCACTGAGGGAGCTGTGGCACTGGAGATGAGTGTTGATATCTCTGACTCTTCTAATGTCATTACAGGGAAGCTGCAGCCTGTTATTTCCCAAACTCACCTCCTGTCATTTCTTGCAGAGTTCCAAATTGTCTTCCTAGACAATTTGAAATCCTTCTAGTTACCTAGAAACCTGTGTAAGGAGATGAAAATGGGGTAAAGCGAGGCAAGGTGTGCGGGCAGAAATCCCAGAGCTCTTACTGGGTCAACAGCTGATGCTGCAGATGAGCTGTGAAGAAAGCAGAGAGGCTTTTGGGCACAGCAGGGCACCAAGGGCATCCCAGGTGAGTATTTCACTGAATTAGAAGGGAATTCCTTACAGGTATCTTGTACAGACTCTGGATGTCATTGTGCATGTGCTACATCAAATGTCCTGGGAATGCTGCTCTCCTGGATTCTGAAGTACTTCAGATTTGGAAGGAAGTTAGGCCTGTAGGTAAGTTACTTTTGTGATATAGTAAATCCTATATGAATTCTTTGCTGTATTGTTTGGCTGAATTGACAACATAAGTTAAATCTGTTAGGTTTATGTGCTGTTAAGTTTAAATGCTGTTTATTGAAGAGCTGTTGTGCCTTTTGAATGCATTCCTTTTTATCCTTACTGTCTCCTGTCATTTTGTCTCCCCCTCCCCAGCCCAGCCTTCACATAGATAATGTTGTGTTTCTATCAGTTTGGATTGACTGACATTGGATTTTTATCTGCTTTTTTCCTCTCTGTGCTTTAACCATTAGTAAGTAATAGAGTGAACCTGGCCATCAAACTTCATTGTGCTGTCACCATTATATTAAATCTGGTTTTGCTGATACCTTAGCTGCTGATTCTTTAAGAAACCTTGAAACCCTCCTCCTCTCAGCCATTCCTTGTGTCTCTCCCCAGGCTGTCATGCTTCCAACAAAATGTTTGCAAGGTTTGCTGGCAGCATTATAGCCTCAGCCACCTCCCAGCACAGCACACTGGTGTGAACAAGTGCTGGTGGGCAGCCCAGTGCCAAGGCAGGCAGTGGGATAATGCAGGGGCATTGGAAAAGGAAAACAGCTGTGGAACATCTGGGACAGATGTGTGCTGGACACTGAGGGCTTCACACGTGGTGGCAACCAGAAGAGCTAGATGGCTGCTCCACCCTTTTCCTCTGAAATTTGTAATTAATGCTGCTTTGGGCTTCTCTTTTGCATTTTTGTGCTGAAAAATAAACAAAGCCCAACCCATTCCCTGCTCCCTGGAGAGCTCTGTAATGCAGCAGAGGCATGGAGAAGCACCAGGTCCTGGGGATGTCAGCATAGCTGTGGCTCATCTCACACCTGAGCTCACTGGGAAGCAAATTTAGCCAGTTTTGTATTTAATCCAAGTCCTCACTGCTTCTTTGAACATCAGCATTTGGAATCAAGGATGCACAGGAGCTCCAGGCTCAGATATCCAACGTGAGGAGTAAAGCAAGCTGCTGCTGTGCTTCAGCAGCCAGGGCCTGTCTCCCACAGCCCTCTCTGCTCAGGTGTGGTGGATGTGACTGACATCAAGCTTGACTGAGGAGCCCACGGGGCTGGAAATCAACGTTTCCTCACTGCAGCTCACACTCCAGCAGAGCTGCAGCAGCTGTGGCGTGTAAAACACGCTGCATGGTGGGTTACCCACGGGTAGCACAACCCTGCTGCCTCTTCATGAGAAAGAAAGAAGCTCAGACATGGGGCTTCCCCGAGGCAAAAATCTCCAGGAGCTCAGAAGAAGTTTTGTCTGAGTAAAGGCTGAGCTGAGGCATCAGGATTTAACTATTTTTTTCCCCCACCTCTTGTTGGGCAAATTTCAAATCCTTTGCAGATTTTGTTGGAAAGCTCCTGGGAAGCTCCTTCTGTCCTCATCTGCAACACAGAAATTTTCCTTACAGGAAAGCCAAAGCTTTGTCACACCCATTTCTCTACACAACAGCCCCAAGAGGAGTTGGCACCTCAGCCAGGTGCTCCTGGACTGACACAAGTCCCAGACGAGGAGCTGAAGGAATTTGAGAACATTGCTTGTCCATAAATCCCTCCGTGGATGATGCTATCCATACTTTCCCAGTCCCTTTCCAAAACTTTCCACCACAGTTGTGCTCCTCAGTGTGGGGCAGATTTACAGGCTGGGACATCATTACAGTTGAGTAAGCAAACATTTAAGCTTTAAAACACTCAGAGGATTTGGGTCCAGTGGCTTGCTAGAGGATGGACATAGCTAGTGGAGGAACCACAACACAAACTGATATCAAACAACTTCATACACATCTTGTTCTTTTATTATAACTAAAACTCAGTAAAGCCATGGGAACTAAATATTAAGATATCTTACAAAGTACAAATTATGGTACAAAAAGGACTTCAGCATTCAATAAAGGCTTGGGTCAAAACCACAGCAGATCTGCAGAATGAGTACTTCTAGGTGAATTAGCCAAAAAACCACTCACCACTCTGAGGTCAGAGGGCCGATCCCCTTTCACATCCAAATGCTTGGCATTTCCTGATGGAGACCACAAAGGAGGGCTCCCAAACCCTCCAGCTGCCCAAGCAGCAGGACCTCCACTGAGAGATCCACATCCAGCTGCAGGTTCAACCCCAAAGCACACCGGGGAATGTTGCCTCCTGTGAAGACATAGGACAAATATTTCCAAACCTGGGTTTGCTGACTGGATTAAGTAGGAGTGCCTGAGCCAGTATATCAACTAGCACGACTAATCAGGCATTTTAAGAAGATGCAAATTAAGGCAAAGATAAACAGCAGGAGGTTTCTCCTTTGCTTTCCACGTGCTGGATGCAGGAACTCTCTCCCATCTGCACATCCTCGTGGCTGTGTGCTGCAGCCCCTTATCAGCCTGGCAGGATGCACCCAGTGTGCAGGGAAACACGAGGTGTGCCAGCCCCTGGGAATGGCTTCTCCATGGATCTGGACAACGTGGGCACCTTGTGCCTGCAGAGATGTGACCCCTGAAGCCACATCAGTGGATCTTTAGTGACGCTGTCACAGGGGGTGTGACCAGAGGTGCTTGCTGGGGGCAGCTGGGCATGGGATGAGTGTCCTGTGTGCCAAATCACTGATGGACGCCCGTGGGCTGTCCCAGGTGCCACAAATAAGGATTCTGGCAGGGAGCCTCTGCTCTAGGCTTGGTGTATCCAAATTCATTCTTGACTTGGTGCTCTTGGTATCACCCACCCTGTCGTGAGAGGGCAGAGAGTGCATGCATCTGCACACACACCCCCCTAATGAAAAAGCTGGCTTGTTTATCTTGATTATACAATGAAATGCACTATTTTACATGTGATTTGCTGCAGCAGCAAAATTAGGTGAACAATGAATCAAAAAGCAGAATTTTTTGTGCCAGCAGCGTTGCTCAGGCTCAGCATCCTTACCTGGGGGAGGCAATTACTGGAACAATCTCCTTCCCCGTTCCTCCTTTGTTCTTGTTCTTGCAGGGGCTGTAACTGTCTTTTATATCTCCTTGTTTTCTCCACTGCAGTTTCACTGTAATGGGATGTTTCACATATTTTGCACAGATATTCTGTCTTTATTCTGGAGAAGCCTTTTCCCTGTGCCCCCCGTTGCAGCACCTTGTCCACCTGCAGGGAAGTTCTCAGAGAGGGAAAACACATTTTGGCCAAGGTGCTGCTAAGCAGACAGAGGTGCTGGCAGCAGTCAGCTCTTCCAGCCTCTACCTTGTGGTGGAATATTTGTCATGGGTTTGTGACTGCCTGCAGACCAGATCCCTGGGCAAGGCAGAAGGTTGTGGATGGTTATGGGGGTGAAAAACCAATGTGCTGGCACAAAGCCATCCCCCTCTGCAGCCCTGTGCTGGGAATAGGGAGTTGTGCACTAACACCACCTTGACGTGCTTCAGATGCTGTTTGACAATCAAATTTTCAGTTAAATACAATATCTGAGCAGGTAAGGAGCAGAAAAAGTTGTCTTATTGTCCTTCAACAGGGTGACTGCTGATTCACAGTGTCCCCACGTCACTGGGTGCTGGCCTTGGGGACTTTGGGGATGGAGACCCAACCTGCTCACACTCCTGTGTGAGCCAGCCCTCTGTGTGCCTCAGTTTGCCATTTGCAAAACTCCACAGTGGCTGCAGGTAAACGAAGCTGTACACGCCCACGTTCTCAGCTGGGCTGAGTGACTTCCAGTCATGTAGGAAGCAGATGTGAATCCACAGCGGGGCTTTGCATCAGTCCCTGCAGCACGTGCAGGTAAAGCTTGAGCTGGTTTTGAGCTGGTGAGATGGGGAGCTCCAAGCAGAGCAGGAACAGCAGCCCAGGGTGCCCACAGGAATGGATTCCCTGTCAGTGATGCTCAGCTGTAGCCCAAGGGCAGCGTGCTGCATCTGTGGATGTGTGAGATGCACAGCCACAGCACAGCAGCTCCTGATCAAATCTCCCTCCAGCCCCGTGATGAGCAATTGTGCCTGAATCCAGATGCTGTCACACCGACCATCCTGAGATTCAGGTTATAGCATCCTCAGATTGTTTAACATCCAGGTGTCCTGAGTGCAGCAGGGTAGTGGTTTTAAACTAAAAAAGGGCTTGACTTAGATTAGCTATAAAGAAAAAAAAACGTTTACAGTGAAGTTGGTGATACACTGTCACGGAGAGGTGGCGAATGCCCCATTCCCAGAAACACTGAAGGCCAGGCGGGACGGGGCTCTGAGCAGCCTGATCGAGTGGAAGGTTTTGGTTGCCGGAGATTGGACTACACGGCCTTTAAAAGGTCCTTCCAAACCCAAACCGTTCTAATAATTCTAATTCTAATTCTAATTCTAATTCTAATTCTAATTCTAATTATAATTCCATAAACGAGGCAAAGGGACAGCACTAGCTTTTGGCGCAGAGGTGAGCAGAACCGAAGCGCTCACAAAGCACAGCTGAGACCCCGCCGCGCTGCAGCGTGGCTGTCCCGCACAGGACAGCGGTGTCCCCAGCGCAGGGGACCCTCCCGGGCCGGGCACCCCCGGCTGGGCGCTGTGCCGGGCGGGACGGGGCCGTGCCAGGGACAGACCCGCGGGTGCCGAGGGGATTCCACAGCCGGAGAGGGGACGGGGGGCTCAGGCACGGCCCCGAAGGGGACACAGGGGCTCTGAGGGGACACAGGGGCTCTGAGGGGACACACGGGCTCGGAGGGGGACACAGGGGCTCGGAGGGGGACACACGGGCTCTCCTCGGCCCGCACTGCCTCGGGAGGATGAGCGCACCGGAGTTCTCGGAAGCTTTTCCAAGGCATCGCTGTCACTTCGCTTTGAATGGGGACCGAACCCTCGCTGGTGACTGTCACCACAAAGCAGCAGATCCGGATGAAGGCAGGGAGGGGTCTCCCTGAGGACTCGCTCGCGCTGTGTTTGGTGCATCCCTGCCCGGCGTTCCCCTCCCGGGATTAAAGGTCTCCGCACGCAGGGACGGTCTGTAAGTGCCGTGAGGGACGCGTGTGGAGGTGGATTCTGCTTGATGGCGGTGGGAGAGGTTCAAAACTCTTTCCTCGTGTTGCTTGAAAAGAGCGTTTTTCTGAGTAATGCTTAGTAGACCCTATGAATCACCATCTGCATAACTTTATATGGGGGCTGCTATTCTCAGCGGCTCGCTGGAGCTGTGTAAACTATCAACATTATCTGTTTGTACATGAAACGTGCGCATCTACTCCCCGGAAAACTATTCCGGAGCAGGTCAGAGGAGGAGACAGGGCAGAACAAAATGTCAGGGGGGGCTCGGAGAGTGGAGAGGGCTGTTTGAGAGCCGGCAATTGCTGTGGCTCCGTGAAAACTTGCGCTGGGAACGCTCCCGGGGAGGGAGAGCTGCTGAGTGCCCCAGCCTCGCACCTCGCTCCTGCTCCTTCAGACTCCTTCCACAGTGTTCTGTGCTGAGAAAACACCGCGGGTCTTTCAGAGAGGCTTGTGGCAGCCCGAGAGGGGGCTTGGCAAGGGCACGGTGCGGTGGCAATGTCACCCAGCGGTGGCAATGTCACCCAGCGGTGGCGGAGCTGCCCCCGCACGGGCGGGGAGGCTGCGGGAGCTCCCTGCGCTGCACTGGGCTCGTCAGGAGAAAAGAGTTTATTCTCTGGAGCTGTCAATCCATCACCTCCCAGAGGCTCCTCCATGGGAGGCTTCTCCACCTTCCCTCCGCCGCCCCCTCGCTGCCAGCTCTCCCAGATGTGCTCAGCGCTGGAGGATGCAAAATTCCCCGTGCCCAGGCAGGGGAACCACAGCGTCTCCTAAATCTCACCGCGGAATTCAGAGCATCTCCCAGACCTCACCAGTCCGACCCCAGGATGAGGAGAGTGTTTGTTGTGGGATGTGAACATTTCAACTTGGTGCAGGTTCAGTCCCGTGTCCCAGTTTGGAGTGACCTGACATTTCCACACAGCTGGATTGAGAGCTTTGCTGTAGGGTTTTTTTTTTGGGTGATTTTTTTCCCCTCTAAACAATCAATATGCTGAAATTTCTACATGAAAACGCATTGCTGTCCAAAGGAGCTGCATTCACATGTCACTGGGGTCCTTGTGCTCTCCTGAGCATCTCCTGCTGCAAGGCAACCCGAGCCCAGCTCTTCTGCTGTGTCCTGCTTGTGTTCAGTGATGGTTTGGGGGTGCTGATCCCTGACAGCATCCAACACCATCTCCAACAGGCTCTTCTCCATCTCAGCTCAGCCCAGCCCCTGCCATTCAGGAGGAGCATGCAAACATGCCCCACTGCAGAGGGGAGCTCTGCCTTTTCTCAGCCCAGGAGCATGACTGCCTTCCCAGCAGGTGGCCACAGCTGAGGACCACTGGCCACAGCCAGCCCAGGTGGCATTTTGGACTTGTGACCCTGGGACAAAACCTGGAGTGAGCTGTTGGGGCTCCTGCAGCTTTCCTAAATCTCACTTCTCATCAGATCCCTTCATTAAACATTGATTAGATCAGATAGTGCATCTTTCACTACAAGGTAATTTGGCTTTCCATCCAGTGGGCCCATCTGATAAATAACACCTTGAAATAACATAATTCCACCTGACCTTGATGACGCCAAGTCCTTCTGGACTTCTGCTCCCTGCCTGGCTCTGGCTCTGCACTTGCAGATCTCAGGGTACAATTCAGGACCCCTCTGCAGGAGATGAGCCCTGCCTGGAGGAATGGAGACCAAAGCCACCACATTGTGGTCCTGTCACTGGCACACAGGCACAGTGGTGAAGGCACAGGTGACAGCTGAGTGTGGGTCATCCGTCTGTCCACCAACTCTGCCTGAGCTCCTCTCTGCCCTGGCCACCCGTCATGTGCAGGCTCTCTGCTGGCACTGCCACCACGACAAACCTGCACAGTGCACTCACCCAGGACACTTTGGGGTGTTGGTGCTTAATTCCCACATGGCCCAAAGCTTTTTGTCCATTGAGAAGTGGGAGCTGAACCTGCAGCTTCTTGCTGGGCTCTGAGCAGAGGGGATGGGGGAGACCTCTCTGCCTCCCTGGTTAGTTGGGAGCTGGGGATGCACAAGCTCAGGGAGCAGATGTTTGCTGTTTGCTGGAGAAAGCAATGGGGGCTGAGATCAGAAAGCAGTGCCCCCTCCCCAAGTTTTCCAGCACCAGGGAAACTCTCTGCATGTGACATTTAGCTGAGAAGGGCCACCCAGCAGGAACGTGTGGCTCTACCTCACCTGTTTGGTTGTCAAACCAACCCCAAACCCCCTGACAGGGAGGGTGAAGGTTGATAGGGTGATAACACCTGCAGGATCAATCTTGACAGGAACTTGAGAAAGTTTGCACTGGAGCTGACCCAGGCAAGCAAAGATTTTTGTGCCAAACTTCATGTGGATGAAGATTGAGAGGATTTTTCCAATGTCATCAGTTCTGGAGGAGAAAACAGGCACATTGATAATTTGGAAGTGATGACATCTTAAATTTATGTTCCTCTCTCCGACCTCTTCCATAAGCCATGCTTTGAAAGCCCAGGAAACCCAGCTGGCATTCCCCCACGTCTGGGAGGAAATCTGGAATAAAACCCAAAGAGAAGAGCTCTGAAAGCACCCGGAGCTGGGGTGTCCATCCTCCTTTGTGCTGTTCCTTGAAAACTGGGATGCTTTTACAAGGCTGTTGGGAAGTTTATGGGTCCTGACTTTGCTCTTCCCATCTGAGATATTGGAGATGCCCCTTCTGAAGGATAACAGTAATGGCTAAGGGGGCTGCAAGCCCCACAGACCTCCTCACCTCTCGGGATCTCCTCTGGTCAAGCTGACCCCAAGATGTATTAAAAGTCTCTTTTCCCCAACCCAGCTGTCGAAGAAGGAGTCAGAAATCTTCAGCTCGTGTTCTCAAGGTTGTTTGTTATTTCTTATCTAAAACATTTTCTGTCTGGCCTGCTGAGGTCTGTTCTGCAGGTCAGTCCGAGGCACGGACCTGGCATTGTCTTTTATGCTACAAACTACATATTTTATATTTACAATTATGTTCCAATACCTATCACCTGTGTTAGGCAGTGACTTTCTACTTTACACCAATCCCAGAGTGCCACCATCACCAAGAAGATGGAGGCCAAGAAGAAGAAGGGAGAAGAACAGGACAATGCTCAAATCTCTCTATCTTTCCCCCTAGACCCCCACAGTCAAATTCTTTAAAATTCCACTTTTCACCCTGTGACAGCTCATTAAACTTCTGTGACTTGTAATTCTTCATATAAAGTTGGTAATTTGCTCCATGGGTTGAGATTGAATTCCCAGGTGCCTTTGGCTTCCTGCCAGGGTTTCCAAGCCCCTGCCAGGATCTTGAGCCATCCAGGTCACCCAGAGGGATGTCCTGGGTTCCGACACTCACCCAATCATTTTCTCCTCCAGCAGGTCTTCAACTTTGAGCTTCTCCCGATCAAACCTGGCACCTTTCTTGTCTTACAGGCTCTCTGATGCCTTGCCCCACTCTTGTCCCCTACTGAACCCTCGTCCTGAAGCATGGCAGCCGCGCCTTTCCGCTACGGGCTGACCATCACGGGGGCCGTGCTGCTGGTGACGGGCACGCTGTGCTTCGCCTGGTGGAGCGATGGCGAGGTGGGCTCCGGCAGCGGGGCTCGCCTCCTGCCTCCCCGGGAGGCCGAGGCCGTGCCCAGCTCCTCCTCCTCCTCCTCCTCGTCCTCCAGCGCCCTGCTCCGCTCCGTCAACTTCTTCTGCTGCGGCATCGGCGGCATCCTGCTCGTCTTCGGCCTCCTGTGGTCCGTGAAGGCCAACGCCAGGGTGGTGTCCCGGCGCTACCAGTACCATTTCCCCAGGGACCTGCAGTACTTCACGGCCGAGCCTCCGGAGAAGTGGAACTGCAGGTGGGAGCCCCGTCCCTGCCAGCGCCGGGCTGGGCAGAGGTGGAGGATGGGTCTGAGCCTGGAGCTGCTGCCAGCCGTGCTGGCTGGGGAGCTCTCAGAGGCAGCAGCGCTGCTCTGTGCTCTCCTCCTGCCCCCCGAGGAGATGCTGCTGCTCATTAATGTCAACCTGAGCCCTGCAGTGTCCTCCCTGCCCACCCCCTCCGTGCCCTGCATCCAGCTCTCCATGCCCTGCATCCAGCTCTCCTTGCCTTCATCAAGCTCTCCTTGCCTTCATCCAGCTCTCCTTGCCTTCATCCAGCTCTCCTTGCCTTCATCAAGCTCTCCTTGCCTTCATCCAGCTCTCCTTGCCTTCATCCAGCTCTCCATGCCCTGCATCCAGCTCTCTGTGCCCTGCATCCTTCTCTCTGTGCCCTGCATCCAGCTCTCCATGCCCTGCATCCATCTCTCCGTGCCTGCATCCAGCTCTCCATGCCCTGCATCCAGCTCTCCATGCCCTGCATCCAGCTCTCTGTGCCCTGCATCCTTCTCTCCGTGCCCTGCATCCAGCTCTCCGTGCCCTGCATCCAGCTCTCCTTGCCTTCATCCAGCTCTCCATGCCTGCATCCAGCTCTCCGTGCCCTGCATCCAGCTCTCCATGCCCTGCATGCAGCTCTCTGTGCCCTGCATCCAGCTCTCCTTGCTTTTCACCCAGTTCTCCATGCCCTGCATCCATCTCTCTCTGTGCCCTGCAGGGCCATCACGTGCCAAGGGACACATCTCCTTAGCAGGGCCACCAAGCAGAAAATACACTGGTTTTCTGGCAGAAGGTTTGGATGTGGGGGCAGGGAGGGGTCACTCAGAGCTCCAGCCCTGGTCTGGCAGGTCTGCAATGCTCTGTCAGGATGGGGGTGTTTGTAAGGTCTTTAATGGAAGCAAAGTCTTTCTTACAAGGGAGTTACATGAAAAAAAAAAAAAAAAAAGGAAAATAATCCTTGGGAGGGCACCAAGATAGAAATGTAGGCAGAATATCCTTTATGAAGCCCATTTCATGGGGTATGGAATGACTCTGCCCTGCCCTGAACACCACTGCTGCTTTTCAGGTTCCCTGGATCTTCCAGTGTGAGCCTGAGATTTTCTCCCACTTCTTCATTTAAAAGTTTTTTTTATAAAAAGGGGTTTTTTTTGCTGGAGACTGCTGTGGAAGCAGGGCCAGCCAGCCCTTCCCAGTGCTGCCTCATGGGGTCACAGCAAAGATCGTGGCTCCGGCATAAATGGGGCTCTGGGGAAAAGCAGCACGAAGAGAAACTCCTGAGAACGTTAAACCATAAAAACACAGTTGGAGTGGGAGGCACGTTCCTGTTCTCCAGGGGTTTCAGTGCCCATCTGGGTGTCTGTGAGCTTGTGAGCAGCTCTGGGTATCTGGGGGAGGTTCCCTGTCCCAGGGAGGGACTTTGCCGTGCCCCTGGGGGGAATGTCCCTTTTCCTGAGCTCCCAGCTCCCTTGCTGGATGGGATGCAGCATCCTGGCAGTGCTGTGTTTGCTCAGGAAAACTCTGCTGGAAGTGGCACCAGGCTTGGCCAGTGCAGGGAGGGCCCTGGCTGCCATGGGAGCAGGGTGTGACCACAGTGACCTGGTGTGTGGTTGTGAGGGTCCCAGGACGAGGGAAGGGATGGATCTGATTCCATATTCTTAGAAGGCTGATATATTATATCATATCATATCATATTATATTATATTATATTATATTATATTATATTACATATATCATATAGTATTATTAATGATATTATATGATATGAAATTATATACTAAAACTATACTAAACTATAGAGAAAAGGAGGAAAGGATGCATCAGAAGGCTAGAAAAGAATGAATAATAAAAACTCGTGACAGACCAGGGAGTCTGACACAGCTGGACCACGATTGGTTATTAAGTAAAAACAATTCACATGGAACTAATCAAACATGCACCTGCCACATTCTAAAGCAGCAAAACGAGAGAAAGAAACCAGATAATATTGTTTTTTCTGTTCCTCTGAGGCTTCTCAGCTTCCCAGCAGAAAAAATCCTGGTGAAGGGATTTTTCAAAAAATAACATAATAACAACCTGGGGTGCCTGGTGCTTGTCCTGGTCCTTGTGCCAAGCTGCCCCCTCAGCTGTCAGCAGCCTCTGTTCCTCAGGGGGTGAATTAGGGGTTAGGCATGGTGAGGATGCTCTCCTGCCCACGGGACCCTCTTGAAAACCTCATGGATGCCAGGAGGGAGCTGACAGGGTCACCCCATGACACACAACACTTCAGCAAAACCTGCCCGTGTGCTCCGCCCAGCACACGAGTTAATCTTGCTCAGGGATGCTCCAGACAATGGCGTTGATGGGATGTTGGGATGCTCCAGTTAATGGGGTGCTGGGATGCTCCAGTTGGGTGCTGGGATGTTCCAGGCATGCTGGAGTGTTCCAGCTGGGTGCTGGAGTGCTCCAATTGGAAGCTGAATGTTCCATATCGGTGCTGGAATGTTCCAGTTGAGTTCTGGGATGCTCCAAATGGAAGCTGGGATGTTCCAGTTGCGTGCTGGGATGCTCCAGTAAGGTGCTGGGATGCTCCAGCTGGGTGCTGGGATGCTCCAGTTGGGAACTGGGATATTCCAAATGGGAGCTGGGTTGATCCAGTTGGGTGCTGGGATGCTCCAGGCATTCTGGGATGCTCCAGCTGTGTGCTGGGATGCTCCAGCTGGATTCTGGGATGCTCCAGTTGGATGCTGGGATGCTCCAGCTGGATTCTGGGATGCTCCAGCTATGTGCTGGGATGCTCCACTTGGATTCTGGGATGTTGATGGTGTGCACTGCTGTGTTCCCTCCTCTCCCCCCACAGCCCCTGGGACTCCAGCGCCATCCCCACCTACGAAGAAGCGCTGACCTGCCGACCAGCCCACGCTGCCCCGGCCTACGTGCAGCCGCCGGGGAGGAAGGAGGAGCCCACGCCGCCGCTGTACCGCTACCTGGAGCAGGAGGAGGGCTGGCAGGGCGGCCGGCGGCGCAGCTCCTCCGACAGCGCCCTGTTCCGCCCCAGCCCGGCCCGCCTGGAGCCGGGGCAGCCCCCGGAGCCGCAGGCAACGCCGCCGCCCAGCTACGAGAACATCAGCGTGCGGGGGCTGTGAGAGCCCGGCCGGGACTCTGCGGGTGCGCCCGAACCGAGCCCCCCATTTCTGGGGGAGAGCAGCGGGAAGGGTCAGCCCGGCTTGCCCGGCTTTCCCGGCGCTGTGGGGATCGTGGGACCCGAGATGTGCTCAGGGCGTCGGGGGTAGCTGGCATGTTTGAAAGCTTTCGTATTTTTAATAAAACCACTGCTGGTTTCAGAGGCTTTGCATTCCCTGCTCACCCCGGGGAGCTCCTGTCAGGCCGGGAGCTGCCCACTCAACAATAAATCTGCAGCACAGAACGAGTAATCTGGGCAGAGAAAGCCCGGCTCCCATCTGCACCGCTGCCTTCTCTGTGAATGCCCCTTCCAGCCCTGTCTCCATCCCTTCCCCCTTGCTTCCCTAAATACTGATCCCCACGCCTCACTTCACGTGGCGTCAGCGATGCTCGGTGGGTCAGAGCATCCGAGTGCACTTGGCATGGATGCCAGGCAGCCTCCTGGAAAAGCCATCCCGAGTGGCACAGCCCCCTCCTCCCTCCCTGCCCTCCACGGGTGGGCGTGCAGCCCTGCCCAAAGCTGTGCCAGGTCCTGCATCCCACCAGAACTCAGCGCTGCCCTGGGCCCCCTGCGGCCCTGCAGGGCTGCAGGGTGGCTGAGCAGCCACAGCCACGTCTAACATACTGTTTATACTACAATTATGTGTCATAAACCAGGTGTATCAAGGGAATAAATCAAGGGACTAAATCAAGGGAATAAAACAAACGCTGTCTGGCTGTCGGATGTGTGGTGGGAAGGAGACACCCTTTAACACCCCAATGCTCCAACTTAAGTGTACGCAGGGCACTCTGTCTTTGCTCTTCCTGGGTGGATCGACCTCACTCCATCCTTTTCTGGCTTTAGTTCCTCCTCCACAGCCCAGTGAGGCAGCCCTAGCACTCAGCCAGAGCAAGGCAGGGTCTGCTCCAAACCCTGCAGCCTCCAAAAAGCCCCAGAGCATTCCCTCTTTTCCTGTTGCAGCCCCTCAGCCCTTGAGAACGTGCTGGGCCCTGGCATCCCCCTTGTCTGGGGCTGTGCCAGCTCTGGTTTATGAGCGAGCCCAGCTCCAGTGCCCAGGGCTGGGAAAATCCCGGCAGCACCAGCTGCTCTCCGGGTCCCCATCCCTGCAGGTCCCCCTGTCCCTTGCCAAGCTGTGGGGTCTGGCTGAGCGTGCCTGCAGGGAAGGTTACCCGGACACGTGCCGGGTGGCTCCACTGGAGTGTGAACGGCGGGGCAGTGTTTGCATTCATTACAAACCCATTAAAAACTGGCTGGCTCAGCCCTGGGCAGGACCAGCTCGACGTGCAGCTGATCCTCAGCTGCTGGCAGCCTCTGCAGGGAGAAACCACCCCTTGCCTGGCGCTGCAGGTGTGCTCAGCAGGCAGCAGCCGCGGGTGGACGGGCTTCCCAAAGTCTCTCCTGCTGCCTGTCCCACCCGGAGCCCATGGCAGAGGGGAAGACCTTCCGCTACGGGTTCATCATCCTGGGCTTCTTCCTGGTGATGCTGGGCATGTTCATCATGAGCGTGGAAAAGCCCCAGTACTACATCACCTTCTGTGTCCTGGGAGTGCTGCTCGTAGCCGTGGGCATCACGTGGAGCATGTGCCAGTGCTACCCAAAGGTAGGATCCCTCCTGCTGCTGGGAACTCTGGGGGGCTCGAGGGCTCAGCTGGGCTTGGGGGGCTTTGGCTGCTGTGGATGTGCAGCCTCAGTTTCCCCAGGGGAAGCCAGCTGCAGCAATCTGGAGGGGGAATTCCTTTGGGAGGTTTGTGCCCTGCTGGTGCCTGCAGGATGTGCCCCCATCTCCTTCACTCCCTGGGCTTTGCTTTCAAACAGGCAGCAGGGAATAATCCCAAGGAAATAGACTTGTGTTCCTCTCTCCCACGCTGCCCTTCCTTGGGATCCGGGGCTTGGCAGGCTCCCAGGAGTCCCAGGAAGGGACTGTGGTGGCCATGGAGGTGGGAGGGTCCCGGCCCCCTGAGCCCAGCCCTCGGCTGGAGTCTCCTTGGCAGAGGGCACGGAGTGCAGCCACGTGTCCCTGCCCTGGGAAATGGCTCTGGCAGAAAAGGGCTTTTTCCAAGGAGAGGGCATCTGTAGGGCTGATCTGGGCACTGCTGGGTGGCCCATCAACAACCTGGCTGCCCTCCAAAATGTGGGGGAGCCACCTCAGGGCCCAGGACCAGCTGGGAGCTCCGGAAGCAGCTGTGTTCCCTGGGACTGGGCTGGAGCAGAAACCAGCTCCCCTCAAAGCTGAGCTCAGCCCCAGCTAGCAGGGAGATGTGGCTTTGCCACCGTGCTTGAGGCTCAAGGATGGGACACCCTGGGTGTGGTTCCTGACCAGTGACCTCCTGTGTGTGCCTTGGGACTCCCTCTGGGCTTGGGGACACATGTGACCCCACAGGGGGAAAGGCACTGAGAGCAGGGCTGGGTTGGACTCATTAATTCCTTACTGATTTCCCTCAAAAGTGCCTTTTCAAAGGAAAACATCCAAATATGGTGGGAAAAGACCCCCAAACCCAGCTGAAGGGACACTCTGGCCCTTTCCCAGAGTGAGGGTGAGGGTGCCTGTGACGCCCAGCACAGCCCCTGGGCTCTGCCTCTCTTTCCCCAGATAACTTTCGTCCCTGCGGACCTCGAGGCCGAGCGGTTCCTGGACCACAAACCCACGGTGCTGCCACAGAAGGACACCGGGTGGGTCCCACGGCAGGGTGGCTGATGTGTGTGCCCTGGGGGCAGGGTCTGACACACAAAATGGGGACAGCACAAAATGCCAAGCAGGGATGAGGCTGGGAGAGGTGAGAGCTGCCTGAGCCCACCCAGGGCTGAGCTGAGTGGTGCTGGGGGAGGCAGAGCACCCAGGGGTGCTCCTGCAGGCATCCCCTGGCTCTGCTGCTGGTGTGGGCAGTGACACGGCCTTGGTGGCCTCTAAAGCCACTCCCTCAGGTGGTGGAGCCCTGTGTGCATGATCCTGAGCACCTCCCAGCTCCAGGGTGTCCAGCTCTGCTCAGCACCCCGTCACCCCTTTGCCTGCAGCTTGATTTCCCCCTGCCCCAGCCAAGAGGCCAGCAGCAGCTATGAGAAGAGCCTGCCATCCTACGAGCAGATCCAGAGGCAGGGGAGCTCGGCCCCAGCCCTGGGCACGGCCCAGCCCAGGTCCCGCAGCTGCTCCCAGGCAGCCCTGCAGGCCAAGGCAGAGATCCACCGGGAGCTGGGGGCTGGGGACCCCCTCCAGGACCTGGCACCCCGCCTGGAAACAGCGGCAGGCAGCTGGTAGGTGATGCCTGCGGGCTTGGGGTGGCACTGGTGGGATGGGGGGTGACAATGGGGGGATCAGACCCCCACTGCTGGGGGAGAGGGAGGATGCAGAGGGGTTTTGCTGCTCTCACAGCACTGAGCTCCACACCCTTGGCCCCACCGGATGGTGTCTCAGCCCTCGAGGAGTCTCTGAACCCAATTATTTCCCAGGAGGAAATTTAGGTGGCCTTTGGTTGTAATTTGCACTTTGATGTTTGGCGTGTTCGCATTTTGCTTTTATTTCATTTTATCAATACAAACAGTGTCCCTCACAAGAATAACCCCAAAGTTCCCGGTCAGCCTTTGATAGAAATGAGATGCACAGCACGCCACCCTCAAACCAGATGCCACATACGATGCCCAAGCCCTGGTTTGGGAGGTCCCAGAGGGCTCTGCAGGTGATGGGGGGGTCTCTGTTCAGGCTCAGGGCACAGGACTGCCAAAATGCAGCTGCAGCTGGGATGGGTGCAGTGCTTTCCCACCCCAGCTGCAGATTCAGGAAGCGCAAGGACAGCCACTGCTTCAACCCCTGGGCAGGCAGGTGTCCCCAAAAAAGCAGGCACCGAGGGCTGGGACAGGGACAGACATCCCAGGCCCCTCCAGCCACCCCGCGAGGGGACTGGTGATGCCGGGGGGACCGCAGCTGCTGCCCAGCCGTGCTCGGTGTCACCGTGTCCCCGCAGCGCCGCCCGGCCAGCCCCGGGGGATGCCCCGCTGGCATCGCTGCTGGACGAGATGGACACGCCGTCGCTGGAGGGCTCCGTGCCCGGCAGCCCCGCGCCGCAGAGCCGGACCCTGCCCCGCTCCGGCCGCCCCCCGAGCAGCTCCCCCGGGGGAGAGCAGCCCCGAGCCCCCCGGGAAGGCGCCGGGAAGGAGGATGAGCTCTACTACGGGCTCCAGGAGGAGCCGGGTGCTCTGCTCAAGGAGAGCGATGGCCTCTCCGAGCCTGAAAACTGATTTTCTGGGAAAAAAAAAAGCGGCCGCTTGGCATGGACTCGCCTCATGGAGGGGACACACAGGGCACAGCCTGGAGGAAAGGGGGCTGTCCCCAGATTGCGGTGGCGCCAGGGTCCTGCCTGTCCCTGTGCCGTGCTGCAGCCCCGGGGCACACCCAGCAGCTCAGGAGGCTGTCATTTCCCCCAGTCCCAAAGGGAGAACTCCCAGCTCCTGAACTCCACAGAACGTGGGACAAGGCCTCCTTGCCAGAGTCCCCTGGGTGGGCACAGAGCAGCTGGGCTGGGCAGGGCTAAGTGCTGTGCTTGGGGAGGGAAAGGATTGCCTGTGCTGTTTGCAGCAGGATCAGGTGTAGGTGGGTAAAACCTGCTCAGTGCAGGTGGGTTTTATCAGGCAGAACTGTCCTCAAAGTCTTTTTCCCACTTACCCAAGCTCTGCTGAAATTAAAATTCGATCCTGAGGCTCCTGCAGCAGGCAGCCTTCATGTCTCCGGGCTGGGAGAGGGGTGATGGAGGTGGCAGATCGTGCTGTCCCCTACCTCCTGCACAGGGACCAGCTTCCAGCCCTCCTGGGGACACGGGGGGAGGACACAGCTGAGCCAAACCCCTGGTGGTGGCACTTGAGGTGGTGGCTTTGCACACTGTCTGCTGGGTCGGTGTCAGCAGCTGCAGGTGGCTTTGCAGGCTGGCACCCACCGTCCCCAAACCTTCTGTGAATAAAAGGTGCTTGTCCCAAACCACACGGGTGGATCTCAGCCTGGCTTGTCACCGTGACAGGGACAGCCCAGGGGCCCTCCACAGCCTGTCTCAGCACACAGAGAGGGCAGAGCTGGGGGGAATCCCACCTTTGGCTGCTCAGCCCTGCAGGGATCTGTGAGGCTGAGCTGAGCCAGGGCAGCTGGGTCTGGATCAAAGCATCCAACAGATGCTGAGAGTCCCTAGCTCTGTTTTGGGAAAGCTGGGCTGGATCTGCCTGTGCCTGGCAGGGCTCCAGGAGGCTTGGGAGCACACGTCTGCTGCCGGAGGAGACTTCAGCACATTCCATGGAATCACGGAACTCAGCTGGAAGGGAGCTTAAAAACCCTGCAGCTCCCCGAGTGGAAAAGTGGGGACAGCTGTGCCCAGCACCCCAGGGGGATGGGGCACAGAGCCTGCAGGGATGTTCCTGTGCTCCCTTGCCACCCAGGAGTGCTTGGTACAGGGCAGGGTGTGCAAGAAAAGGCTGTGCCTGAGGTGTCACAGCCCTGTGACACTCCTGCACCCTTGGCTCTCCTTGGTGTCACCAAAGCAGCCAGGCAGAAGGGCAGGGAGCATCGGGGTGTTTATGGGCAACAGGAGGGTGGGGAGTGAAGGCTCCAGTGTTGGCTAAACATCGGCACAGGGCTGTGAGCTGCTCTCCAGGGGGAGCATTGCTGTTGATTGCATGGACTCAGCTCCTGCCTGTCCTTCCCAGGGTGGGGCAGTGCGGTGGCTCTGGGAATGCTGTCTGGATGGAGCCATGCCTCACTGAGTTTCAGAGGGTGCCCAGGGCAGGGTGTCACTGTGTCACTGCTCCTGTGCAGTGTGGGGATCTGGTGGAGACCCAGAAGGTTTTACCTATAGAACCACAGAATGTTTGGGCTGGGAAAGGACCTTAAAGATCATCCTGTTCTAAGCCCCCTCCATGGGCAGGGACACCTTCCACCAGACCAGATGCTCCAAGGCCCGTCCAGCCTGGCCTTGAATGTGTCCAAGGATGGGGCATCCACGCTTCCCTGGGAAAACTGTGCCAGAGCTTCACACCCAAAGCCCCTCCCTGCTCTCCTGTGGTCTCCATGCTGGGAAGGGCTCCAAGGTCTCTCTGGAGGTTTCTCTTCTCCAGGCTGAACACTCCCCCGGAATTTCCTCACAGAAGAGGTTCCTACCTCATGCCTTGGCACTCACTTTCATTTTTGCCAAAAGCCCGCTGTCCCCCGTGTCACCCTGCGCGGGGACCCCGGCGGTGCCACCCGCGGGACGGGGATGTCCCGGCCTTGGCGCCCCGCGGGGGTGGCGGCAGCAGCGCACCAGTGGTGTAGTGGTATCATGCAAGATTCCCATTCTTGCGACCCGGGTTCGATTCCCGGCTGGTGCAGCGCAGAATTCCTCCCACGCCTCTGACTTGTGGCAGTTCCATATCAAGGTGCTGGCACCCGCAGAGGCCTCCCAAAATGTGGGAGAGTTTTTTTTTTTTTTTTTTTTAACCGGCGGGATGCTCGGCTCAGCGCACCCAGCGCTGTGCCCGCCCCGCCCGGAGCCCATTTCACCCCCGCAGGGATTTAGGAACCCTTCCCCCTCCTCCTTGTTGAGATCTCTGATGCCTCCTCTGCTCTCTCCTTCCTCCCACCTCAACAGGAGCCCCCCATTTACACAGACACACACGCTGGAAGCCCCACTGGGAGCCAGGACTGAAACAGAGCTCTTCTGCACAAGGTGCAAATTTTGGGCTATTTCTGAATAATTCTCAATTTAAAAAAAAAATAACCTTTCTGCAGATACCCACTCGTGGAGTGTGAGAGGAGTGCTGGATCCCTCCCCAGGCTTCCAAGACCTCCATGGTTCCTCAGCACGTGGGGATACACGTGGAACTGGGGACCTCTGCCACCCCCTCCCTCCTCTTCGGGCTCCTTCCATCCTCCCCTGGGACACAGACTGTTCCCTGTGGAAAAAGGCAGGGAAAGGCTGCAGGGAGAGGGAGGCTGTCCCCCTTGAGACGGGATCCCCCCGTGCTCAGCTGCCTCAGAAGCCTCCTGAGGCCCCAGTGGTGCGTGGTGGGACTTCACAGGACCGAGGAGGCTGAGCCAAAAATCAGGAGTGAGGCTCGATCCCATGATCAGTGTCCTGGACGCTGACCCCTTCAGTGTCAGCTCTCTGCAGCAGAGGGGTGACCAGCAGGGTCTGGTGTCCCTGCAGTTACCTGAACCAGAGGTCAGGCTCCCACTTGAGGTCTCATTAAAAAATCAGCATTTCCCCTACAAACTGTTCACATCCATATAAAACACACCCATCCATACAAACCATGCACATCCCTATAAAACATTAATGTCCATGCAAGCCATACACATAATTGTAAACCACGTTCATCTATTTAAAACATATAGGTGCATGCAAACCACACACATCCATGTAAAACACATATATGCATAGAAACCATACACAAAATTACAACATGTACACCATGTAAAACATATATTCATACAAACCATATACATCCACACGAAACACACACATCTGTATAAAACATGTGCATCCATATAAACATTTAACCTCTGAGGAGCTTATAAATAAGCAGCCAAACCCACAAATGTATTCCTGTTTCCCTGGCAAGCCGGGAGCAGGGAGGGGTTTGCTGAAGGTCGCGGGGATGCGGGGCAGTGTGGATCCCGATGCTGCGGGAGGGCGGAGGTGGGAGCGGCGCGGAGACCCGCGGGAAAGCGCCGATGTCATCCCGCAAAAAGGGCATTCGCCGTGTGTGACGACTCTGTAAAAATGCCCAAACAGGATCAGAGGATTTCACGGGAAATCATTCGCGGAGTGAGGCAGTGGGAGGCACATTAAAGCTTTCAGCCCTTTCTGAAAACAGTCCTGGAGCGGCTGCGCTTTGCTCGCCAGAGCCCCCAGCGACCCGCAGGGACTCGGGGCGAGCAGCGGCCCCGTTTGCCCTCTCCCCGCGGCCCCGTTAATGCTCAACCCGCCCGGCCTGCGCCGTGATCCGCGCCCCGCCGCGCTGAGCCCCGGCCAGGCGCCAGAGCCGCGGGTGCGGGTGCGCTCCGGGACTGCGCGGGTGCGCACGGGGACTGCGCTCCGGGACTGCGCGGGTGCGCTCCGGGACTGCGCGGGTGCGCACGGGGACTGCGCGGGTCTGTTCAGGGACTGCGCGGGTGCGCTCCGGGACTTGCGCGGGTGCGCTCCGCGGGTACGCTCCGGCCCCTCGGCTCCGCTCCCGCTGCAGCCCCTCGGCTGCCCCTCGGCCCCGCGGGTGCGCTCCGGCCCTCGGCGCTCTCTCGCGGGGTCCCCGCCGGTGCCGCCCCGGCTCCGAGGGTCCCGGCGCCTCCCGTCGGTGCGGGATGTCCCCGCGGGCTCTGGCGCTGGCGCTGGCGCTGGCGGGGCTGGTTCTGGCCCCGGGCGCGGCCGAGGAGGGGGAAGCCGCCGTCGGGGCCGCCCCTCCAGGACCCGCCGCTTTCCATCGCGCCGCCAAGGTGAGGAGCGCGGGGTGGGGGGACAGCCACGCTCCCGTGGGGGTGTGTGTGTGTCCCCCGAAGCGCAGCCCCGTGCTCGTGTCCCCGCAGGCGGCCTGGCGGCTGCCCGGGCGCTACGTGGTGATGCTGCGGGCGGGCAGCGGGGCCGAGCTGCGAGGCACGGCCCGGCGGCTGCGGGCCCGGGCGGCTCGGCGGGGACACCCGGCACGGCTGCTGCACGTCTTCCACCTCCTGCCCGCCTTCCTGGTGAGGATGAGCAGCCACGTCCTGGACGCGGTACGTGGAGCGGGGGACAGGGTCGTGGCAGGGACAGCGGCTGCGGTGGGCGCTGGTGGGAGTGGGAGCCCCTGCCTTGGGGGGAAACGGGAGCTTTGTGTCCCCCCCGCAGGCGCTGAAGCTGCCGCACGTGAAGTACATTGAGGAGGATGCCTACGTCTTTGCGCAGAGCATTCCCTGGAACCTGGGCAGGATCGTGCCGCCGCAGCCCAGCTCGGGAGCCTACAGCCCTCCCAGTAAGCGCTGGGGTGTGCGAGGGGGCGACGCTTTGAGGAAGAGTCAGGTCCCCTCTCCTTAACTTGAGGGAGGGAATGTTCCTCCGCCCCATGGTGCTGTGGGTCTGGAGCTGCATTTTTGGAGCAGCCCAGGTGGCCTGACGGTGATGATGGTTGCCTTCCTCCCCCGCTGCACCCCTGGCAGATAAAGGTGACCTGGCCGAGATTTACCTGCTGGACAGCAGCGTGCAGAGCAGCCACCGGGAGATCGAGGGCAGGGTGACCGTGACCGGCTTCGAGAGCATCCCCGAGGAGGATGGCACCCGCTTGCACAGGCAGGTGAGTCCTGAGGTGCCACGTGCTGCATCCCGGCCAGAGCACCCCCCTGCAGCCACCAAATCCTGGCCAGGCTTGCGAGGCTCTCCAGGACAAGGGAGACACTTGGCCTGGACCAAAATGCTGGGCAGGATGGGCAACAGGAGCTGTGGTCCTGGGGGATATTGGGACCCTCAAGGTGGTGTGTTTGGAGATATGGCTGAGTTTGGCAATTTCTGGGAAAGCGTTCAAGGGCAGCACGGGTAAGGGCAGCACGGGTAAGGGCAGCACGGGTGAGGGTGTGTGTCGGGTTAGAGAGAACCAAGGTGGGAGGGGGTGGGGGGCACGCTGTGGGATTGCAAACCTGCTTTGCTGCAACGGGCTGGGGCATGAAACTGCGGTGCCCGTGCCAGGCCAGCCAGTGTGACAGCCACGGGACGCACGTGGCCGGGGTGCTGAGCGGGCGCGACGCCGGCGTGGCCAGGGCCGCCAGCATCCGCAGCCTCCGGGTGCTGGGCTGCCAGGGGAAGGGCACCGTCAGCGGCACCCTCAAGGGTGAGTGACCCCCGCCCCGAGAGCAGCAGGCTCCCTCCCGGGGCTTCCCGCGATGGTGTTTTGTCGCTCGCAGCGCTGGATTTCGTCGGGAGGGCGCTGGAGGCTCGGCCCTTCGCCCCGCGGGTGGTGCTGCTGCCGCTGGCCGGGGCGCGGAGCCCCGCGCTGAACGCGGGCTGCCGGCGGCTGGCACGCACCGGAGCGGTCGTGGTGGCGGCTGCCGGCAACTACAAGGACGATGCCTGCCTCTACTCGCCGGCGTCCGAGCCGGAGGTGCGGCTGCGGGGAGCCCCCGAGGCTCGGGTGCCGCCTCATCCCTCGGCTCAGCGAGGGCTGGGCTGGGCGCGCCATCCCTGCCGTGCTCCGCTGTCACCGCCAGGTCATCACGGTCGGTGCCAGCGACAGCCAGGACCAGCCTGCCTCCATCGGCACCCTGGGCACCAACTTTGGCCGCTGCGTGGACCTGTTCGCCCCGGGGGACGACATCGTGGGCGCCTCCAGCGCCTGCAGCACGTGTTTCACCGCGCGGAGCGGGACGTCGCAGGCGGCCGCGCATGTGGCAGGCGAGCTGCGCTTTGAGGGGCAGGGAGGGCCGGCCCTCCGCTTGCTGGTGCTGGCACAGGGCTCCAGGCGTGCCTGAGCTGGGGTTTTTGTGTTCCCTGACTCCCCTGGTTTGTGTCACCCAGCCTGCGCAGCGCTGTGTGGGCGATGGGCTGCGGAGATGCCTCTGCCGCGTCTCTGGAGCCGTGCTGCCCGTGGCAGCGCTGCGTGGGTGGCTCTGTCCCCTCTGCTTGTCACTGCGGCCTCCGGGGCTCTTGCAGGCATCGCGGCCGTGCTGCTGAGCGCCGAGCCCCGGCTGAGCCCGGCCGAGCTCCGCCAGCGCCTCCTGCGCTTCTCCGCCAAGAGCGCCATGGACACGGCCTGGATCCCGCAGGAGCAGCGCCTCCAGACACCCAGCAGCGTGGCAGGGCTGCCCGCCCGGCTGGCGGCAGGTAAGGACCTTGCCAGGAAAAAAAGTGCCGGGGTGAAGGCACAGCAGGGAATGTCCCCAGGGCTGTGCCGGGAACGGCTGAGCCTGGCTGCATCCATGAGCGAGATGGAGCCTGGTCGGTGGGAGCTGGGTGTCACTGAGGGTGGCACTGAGGGTGGCACTGAGGGTGTGTGGGTGTCACTGAGGGTGGCACTGAGGCTGTCCCCCCCCTGCCGCCCGGCCCCGTTGCAGAGGAGCCGCTGCTCTGCCGCTCGGTGTGGTCGGCGCGCTCGGGGCTCTCCCGGCTCGCCCGGGCCGTGGCTCGCTGTGCCGGCACCGAGGAGATGCTCAGCTGCTCCAGCTTCTCCCGCAGCGGCAGCCGGCTGGGAGAGCAGGTGGAGGTGAGCAGAGCGGGGCAGAGCTGCTGCCCCCGCAGGGTGTCCCCAGCCCCCCAGCCCCGGTGACGCTGTGCTGCCCCTCGCACAGGACCAGCACGGGCAGAAGCAGTGCGTGGCCCTCAATGCCCTCCAGGGCCAGGGGGTTTATGCCATCGCCAGGTGCTGCACCTGGCCCAGGGCTGAGTGCCGGATCCAGGCCAGCTCCCCCGGGACCCAGGGGGCCCAGTGCTCGCCAGGAGACCACGTGCTGACCGGTAACACCCAACCCGGGGTCACAGACCTCTGAGCCTGATGGACAGGGGTGTTTCTTCCACAAAAGCTCTGGGATGTGGGGGTAGAAGGTTGCTGGGGTGGCAGGGGAAGGCTGCATGTGCTGTATGCATGGAGGGGGGGAGGTTCAGGTTCATCCTTGGTGCCAATGTGTGCCCTGGGATGCTGCCATGGCTGCCCTGTGCCAGCATCCCCTCTGCCCCGGGCAGGGTGCAGTTTCCACTCCCCGTCCGTGGTGCTGGGTGTTGGTGGCAGGCCCGTGGAGGGGCTGGGGAGGGGGCCCAGCCGCTGTGCCAGCAGGACAGAGGGGATGGCCCACGCCTTGTGCTGCCCCAGTGCCAGCCTCGAGTGCCGGCTGAAGGAGCACGTGGCCCTGGAACACGAGGGGAAGGTAGGGATGGGCCACGCTCCTCTGCCGTGCTGTTGTCTCTGTCTCTGCTGTCCCTCTGCCACCCTGATGGCTTTTGGGTGTGGCTGTCCCTGCTGTCAGCTTTCCCTGCTGTCCCAGCTGCAATGGGACACCCCGTGCAGCTGGGTGACAGAGTCACACACCCTGAGCCATGGGGCAGCCCCTGGCCCTTTGCTGACCCGTGGATGGTGATCTCCCCTCCCCGCTAGGTGACAGTGTCCTGTGAGGATGGCTGGACGCTGACGGGCTGTAACTCCCTGTCCCAGAGCCCTGGCTCCACGGGAGCCTATGCCCAGGACAATTCCTGCGTGGCAGCCGCCGTTCCTGGCAGCAGCTGGGCCGTGGCCATTTGCTGCCGGAGCCGGCAGTAGGGACAGCCTGAGCTGGAGGGGTGGCTCCTGTGGCACAGCAGGGATGGAGCCCTTGCTGGACCCTGGACCGCTGTGTCCCTGGCTTGGTCCCTGGCTTGGTGCCTTTCCAGGGTTTCCAGAACAATCCGTGCTCAGACATGCAGTTGATGGCCAAAGTTGTCTCCCCCTGGCACACAGCGGGGTCAGGATCCAGGGCCAGCATCCAGGGTGGCTCCTCAAGAGCTCTCCAAGCGCCCCCCAAGCAGCTGGAGCCCTGTGCCATCACTGGAGTCATCCCAGAATCCCTTCCCTGCCATGTCTTCCTACAAACACCTTGACAGAACAAGCCGTGCTGTTGTCACCCAACATAGGAAAAATCCACCACTTTTTAAAGAAAAATGTGTTGTGAGGATCACTCCTTCCTGTCCTGCTTAGTTGCTCATTAGTTGTCAGCTAATGCTGCTTAGCACTTGGAAAATCTTAGTTTAGCCATTTTTGGGCAGTTTTATAATTGCCTCAGCGTATTCCTAGGAGATTTCTTTACTTTTGAGTCAAGTGTAAGGACTTTAGTTTAAACAGCCTGCTTGGTTAATTAGACTTTTATCTGCATTGCTACAGTCAGCTCCTGCTTCATTAGTGCTTTTTTTGTTGTTGAGTCAAAGTTAATGATCTGCTGGTGTTATGTGTTAACAGTTTCAGACACATAGAACTGTAGGAGGCTGTAATTCCTAAAAAAAAAAAAAAAAAGAAAAAGCTTTCATAGCACCTTCGTTTTTACATTTGTACCCTAAATATTTATTTGGAGTTTTATAAATGAGCATTTTATAAGTGTCTTTTTAAAATAAAATTCATAGACCTGTGCTCTTGTGGTCCTTTGTCTGCCTTCATTGACATCTCCCTGGGGAACTGGTCTGGAAGAGGGAAGGGGGATCCTTCCAGCAGGGAATTTGTATTGTCAGTGAGCAGCCCCAGGCCCCCACGTGGGATCTGATCCCTGCCTGGGATCCAAGGTGCTCCTGGATGGCAACTGGCACCTTTGGAAGTTGGCACAGACAGCTCAGGCACCCTCGCCCACAGCTGGGTTGTGCTCTGGGACTGTGTTGTCCCCACACACACGAGACCAGAAGTTTGTTTTAACAACAGTAGTGCATGGGAAAAGCTTCCAGTTATGGAAACAAACATCAGCCAGCTTTGGGAATGTGCCCTTGAACTTGGGTTGCTGCTGTTCCTTCACTTGGGAAGGGCTGGAGCCCCAGGAAGGAGACAAAGCTTGGCTCAGAGAGATGCCAACTGCAGGGAAAGGCTGAGAAGCACCAGCAGCCACCAAAGCTGGGTCTCACTTCTCTCTCAGTATTTAGCAGCCTCCTGGTGCTACAAGATATAATTTTTGTGGTGTTATCTGAGGATAGATGAAAAAAACCCCAGAGTTTGATACCACAAGCTCCAGGTTAAGCTGTCAGACTGGGCTGGGTTGGGTGTTTTTCCCAGCTCAAAAGCCCCCTGCAGCTCCGTTACTCTGGCTTTAATTGGCAAGGGAAGACAAACCCAGCACAAAACACCACTTTGAAAGGTTGAAACTAATTCTAACTTGTTAACTAAAGCTGGCAAAAGCCCAACGCTAATCTAAACATGTAATTATATAACATGGACATAATTACAGCCCATAATTTCATTCAGCTGGAACCTGAATTTTACACAAAGAGGCAGAAAAGAAAAAGGGATGTCAGCCTGAGAGCTCCTGGACAGCTCTGACACCGAGGGTGATTTTTCAGCAGGCTCTTTGGGCTGTCACCTCTCAAAACACACATTAGGAATTCAGCTCTGCTGCCTGCCCTGGGAGAGGGGAGGATCCAGCACAAGGTGTGAGCATGTTCCACTCCTGATAAGCCAGACAGAGCTTCCCCAGCTCAGCTCAAGCCTTCATAAGCCTGGTGGAAGGAAACAATATTAAAAGATTAGCCCTTGCTTTGTGCCTCGTAGGTGGGTAGGAGGAAAAGCCTCTGACAGTCAGGAGAGCAGGGCTGATCCCAGGGATGCTGATCCAGGGATGCTGATCCCAGGGACGCTGATCCCAGTCCTGGCAGCACTTTGCAATGCCCAGTCCATGCTCCCAGGACCACCAGGGGAGAGAGAGGCTGGAAAAGTCCAAGTCCTTGTCCTCAGAGCAGGGGGCAAAGGCAGAGCGGGGATGGCATCCAGACTGCAGCTCCTGGTTCCCAAAGAAGTGAGTGATGGAACACCAGCTCCGTGTGCAGCCTCTGGCCCTTGCCCCTGTGGGAGGCAGGATGAATTCACACCCAGCTCGCCCACAAATCTCGGATCTGACACACAAAATCCGCTCTAATCCACTGTGAGCCTGGCCAGGGTAAATCACTCTGCTGGGGTCAGGAGGAGCTGCACAGAGGTACGGATGTGACAGAGCCCCAGCTCGTGCTGTGACATAAGGATGGACAGCAGGGCAGCTCCAGGGCCACCCAGCTGCTTCCCCTGACTCTGGAGAGGAGCCAGAACAGCAATCAGGGCACCCTTGAGGAGCTCAGCATCCACAGGGCTGGTTCAGGAGGTTCAGGATAAGAGGATCAACAAGACCAGAGTGTAGCAGTGTGTGCACAGTCTAAAGATTACACTAGTTTTCTGTGAAAGGAATAACTTTATTCCATTGACCAGGAATCCCCAAGACTGTTCATCAAGACTGCCTATTTTTCCAGTGCCAAATGTCTATGCATTAATTGGACAGTATCTCCCTGAGCGCTCACAGGCAGGCTGTGGCTGCTCCTCACTGAACATTTTGTAAGCTGTATAAAAACATTTTCATCCAAAAAGATTGGCAGTAAAAATTACAACATATAAATGCATCACAATTTACACAAAAACTAGTTTGTTTTTTTTTTTTTCTTTTGTCGAACTCTATTTTCCAAAAAATAATCTTCAGCAGGTTCAAATGACAGCAGCTGGAAACAAAAATAAGTGACCAAATATCATCTTATTGCAAATTATAACCACTGACTTTGTACAAGCGTGAGCAGAACCGTGAAAAAGTTTGTATTGGTTTCAAGTATACAGTGGTGATGAGCCATCCTGATGCAATTCCCACCAATGCTTCCCTGGGCCTGGGCTATCGAGGATGTTGTTTCCATAGGAAATAACAGGAACCTGAAGTGACAAGTGGTGCCAACCCATGGGAACGTGGCCAGCTTTTCCCATCACCGCTGTGTACTGACTCCTTGGGAAGATTCATGGCCTGTTACCAAAGCATTTGGGGGTGGGGGAAGGAAGGAAGGAAGGGGGGTGCCCGTGAGAAATGATTAATTCCAAATTAATTTAAAGCGCGTCACATTTAAAACGTCCCAGCACATCATCAGAAACATTTACAAAATGCTAACTCTGCCCTGTGTCTGTGAAGATGTTTGGAAAAGGGAAGTGAGAGATTCACTACGGTGCCCCCCTGCCATCCATCCTACCCCACAATAAGTTACAAAGCTGTACAGCTGACATCACATCCAAGGCTCCTTCCGACAGTGAAATGACTGGTTGCTTTCAATATTAGTGCACAACAGTGAAAAGCTGGCTGCTGCTCTGTGTTTTGGCAGCAGCGTGTGAAAAGAAACAAAAAAAGGCACTTTTTGGCTGGTTGTGCCTTTAACTTGGCAAATTTGTCTATCTGGAGGTACCCAGGCACTCCTTAAGATGTCCCCCGTTTCTGTGCATGTTTGTTTATATAATTTTTTTTAAAAGTAAGGCAGAATCCATAAATAAAGGCAAAAAGCAGTGCAGAAAATGTGACAAACACAAAATGTACAAAAGATGAAGTTAGTTGGCACAAAAGAAGCTTGAATCCAGAGCCAGAAATCACTGAACTGCACTTGACATAGAAAACAAAACTGTGCTCAAATCATCCCAACTGGTTTCCAGTTATTTGTGAGCAAATTAAAAGAGCTGTGATATTTTAAACGTTGCCTGGTCAACTGAAAATGCAAACAAAGCCAATTCTTTCTTTCCCTCTGTTAAAATTGCTCTAAAATCTGCACAACAGTGTTCCCAGCTCACTCAAGGAATTATTCATCATATACAACCAATACCAACTTTCTCAGTAATTTCAAAGCATAAGCAAGTGATTGCAGATCCATGACTGAGACTACATTTTATTCAATATGTCTCCAAAAGTTAAAAAAATTTAATGAGTAAAACTGCAACAGAATTCCTTCTTAAAGTGCTTTCTTCTTTTAAACAACTCATTAACTTTTTCTTTTTTTAATTCACCAACATCCTTGAATAATAAATGCTTGCATACCTAGAGAACAAAGCTTTTCTTTTACTGCCCTTCCCAGCTGTCTGAAGGGTTTTTGGAAGGGTACTGGGAAAGATGACTCATTCCAGAGCTCCTTTACCAAATCATTCAGTAAGGAATCACTCTTTGTACAGAGCAATCCTGCTGATCTTTCTCATCAAGAGCTTTACAAATTAGCAGGGAGACATATTAAATACAGAAGTCCTTATGTAAACCCATTCTTTAACTAATATTTTACAATGAAATGTAAGTCATCACACATCTTTACAGAAATTTGAATATTCCTATTCAATATTATCAGAAAGATTAAAAATTTGCCCTCCATACATAAGGGCAGTCTGTTTCTTTTTTTTTTTCCTGTATAAAAACCAAAAGAAATTTTTTTTTGCAGCATCACAGAAAAGCAACAGTTTTACATTCACTCATTTAATGTTCACATAAAAATTCAACCACTAGCGTTTGTGTATTTGATAAAATCTTCTTGACAAACTTGGTTTCGGTGTTTTGGACTGTCACAAGCTACTGCAGGTGAAGATGCAGTTTTGTACAGCATTTGTTGATCTGAAGCCTTCGTGACTAAAAAATGCTTTTATCTTTCAGGGAAACAACCTCCTCCAGCATCTCCTCTGGTCCTGTGAAGCCACTGCTCCCCCAGACTCCCAATGGCATCAGCAACACGACTCCAGTTCCAGCAGGGACCAGGCATTGAATGTTTGAGCTGGTTCTCGTGTTCACAGGGATCTCCTCTAAGGGTCAACGTCATCAAGGTCACTTTTAGGCTCCCCAATCATCATAGGAGACTCTGAGCCCTTTCAAACACACAGGGGACAGGGAGAGAAGGACACAGTCACTTTTGTGAGATGCACAGCTGTTCACAGCATGGTCAGTGATGGTTCTGACCCCAGGGACAGCTGCCCCACAGAGGCACCACCAGGGGGTAAATCTGCCTTTATTTTACCTGCTGCAGGTGCCTCTCTCCATTCTCATTGGCAGGGCTGCTTTCTGACCCATTGCTGCTTCCAGACTGATCCTTCTCATTCAGCAGGGCCGTGGCATAGGCCAGAGTGTCCTGAGTTGCAAACAGTCCAAGAGAGTGTCAGGGGTCATGGTAATCCCTTAATTTCACAATTACTATTTTTTAGAATTATTGTTGTTTTATTATTCTTGCTTTAAAACAACAATAGCTGCTGTAGTGAGACAGCCAAGTCACCACAGGTAACTGTGAGCATTCACTAATATCATTGAAGGGTTAATTTTCTCCAGGAACAACTGAGCTTCTAAAGGCTTCAGCCTGAAGTGCACTGAAATATCACAGAATCATTAAGGTTGGAAAAGACCTTTTAAGATTATCAAGTCCAACTGCCAAACCAGCAACACCACCATGCTCAGCACTAAACCATGGCCTCAGGTGCTGTATCCACATATTTTTTGAACACTTCCAGGGATGGTGACTAAAGTTGCCAAACCCAAAGATGCTTCCAGGAAAAGAAGTAAGCAAGTTTAACATCCTCTGCCAGGACTGACACATACCTGTGCTGAAATTGTGCGCTGGAAGGTTTTTGCAGTG